ATGTCACCACCTACTTCCACCTAAGCAATGTTGGGTGGTGGCGGCTCATACCTGTAATCCTACCTACTCAGAAGGCTGAGATCCAGAGGATCACAGTTTGAAGCCAGCATGGCAAAAAGCAGGGATGGAGTTGTGTTCAAGTGGTAGGTTCTTTCCCTTGTAAGAGAGTCAGATTTTCCTTTCTAGGCTGAGCTGAAACCATGATTTTCACAGTCTCAGTCTTCTACATAGCTTGGGATGGCAAGGGTTAAGAAGATGGTGGGTCATGAACTTTTCTGCCCGGGCTGGCCTCCACCTGGCTATTTTCACTTTGTTTTTGATAGAGGGACTCTCTAACTTTATCCTGGCTGGTGCTGAACTTGAGATCTTTCTGCCTTCACCTTCTGAGTAGCTGGTATTTTAGGCATGTGCCACCATGTCTAACTGCTTACCAGTTCTTTCTATACTAACTAGGAAGATAGCCTCTTATTTAATAGTTACAATGTAACACTTGGCTAAGTGTCTTACATTCATAAACATGCAAACATATTTGCAATATATAAATCAGCTTATAGATTATATAAAGAACTTCAAACTAATCAAAAGACATTCAAAACATGTCATATTCATCAATATAAACATAGAAACAGAACATAAAATGGCCAGTACATGTGGGCAGATTGCCAGTCTAACTGATATCCTGTTCTGTCACCCATCCAGACTGACACAACAGGAAATGTGCTTTGACACGGAGGAACCAGTTGTCACTCTGTGTGCAATCGTTTGGCCCCTCTTGAGAGAGTAAAATATAAAATGGCCTCATCACTCAGCAATTCCAGAACTAAAATGACATTTTCAAGGATCCCTGCCATTTTCCCCTCATCCCCCCACTCCCACCCTGCAAAAGACACTTCATACTCATACTCATCAGAAGTCACTATTGCTTTCCCCAGACCCAGGCAACCACCAGTCTGCTTGATATGAACTTGCATTGCTGAAGATTTCACGCAGGTGGAATCAAACAGCAATGTACCTTGTGTCTGCCTTCTTGCTCTGAGTCCTTTATTGGGTGGGTGGAAAGGGTGGGGAAGATATGGGTACTGAGCTTGAACTCAGGGCTCGAGTTTCAAATACACACACACACACACACACACACACACAAATTGCTCCATGCAATAGTTTTTTGATAAGGAAAATCCAAAAACAGGTTGAAGAGTCATCAAAAAGGGCTTAGCTACCAGTTATAAATTCGTAACTCCTTTATGACTAAGCCTGTCCTGTGCTCTAGGATTAGACTCCAGGAAGGGCTAGGCACTGTGCTGCACTGGAGAACACAGAACTCATCATTGCCATTTATGGGCACCAGTAAGTGTTGCCAGGACTTTGAGTGTTGGAGATGATGGAAATGAGTTTTTGCATGCTGTAATTAAGAATCTTCTGGAACTTGCTACAAGATCCACTTAAGGTCATACTCCTAACCCTTTTGCTTTAGTTTGTTTTTCAGACAGATTTTTATACTTTTGCCTGAGGCCAGCCTAAAAGTATAATCTTCCTACTTCTACCTCCTAAATAAAAAACAGTGCAAATAATGAGGTAGCTGGGATTACAGGCATGTACCACCATACCTAGCCCCACAATCTTGACTTATAACATCATAGTTTCCAAGTGTGTGTTTTATTTTTTTTTAGTTGAGCCATTGGGATGGACGTGGTGGCACACATCTGTAATCTCATCTACTTAGGTGGAGATTGGGAGGATCATAATTTGAGGACAGCCTGGTCACAAAGTTACTGAGACCCTGTCTTAGCAAAGAAGCCATACATGTTTCACATGTAGTCCTGGAGGCAGAGATAGGAGAATCAGGGTCTTAGGGAAGTGGCCTAGGCAAAAAGCAAGACTATCCAAAAACTAAAGCAAAACCAGCAGGGGAAGGGAGGTTGGGAGTATGGCTCAAGTGGTAGCATGTTTGCCTATAGTCACAAGACCTTGAGTTCATGCCAAGTACCACACAGGGAAAAAAAAAAAAAGGGAGGGGGGCTGGGAATGCGGCATAGTAGTGGAGTGCATGCATAAAGCCCTGTGTTCGATTCCTCAGTACTACATAAACAGAAAAAGCCAGAAGTGGCGCTGTGGCTCAAGTGGTAGAGCACTCGCCTTGAGCTGAAGAGCTGAGGGACAGCGCCCAGGCCCACAGTTCAAGCCCCATGACCGACCAAAAAAAAAAAGCCAGTATAGTGGTGGGGGACAGACAATGACATAGCACATGTGTCACCACAGGATTTACTGCAAAGTACAAAAACAAAAGCCCACACAGCAGGTACCTTTCCTCCAGGTTACTTACTCCAGAAATAGTTCCTCTCAGGATTTCAGATACTATATGGTACTTTAATTTGTCCATGGTCAGACTAGAAAAGAAACAAGAGCTGGGTGCCAGTGACTCATGCCTGTAGTCCTAGCTACTCAGGAGGATGAAGTCTGAGGATCACAATTAGAAGCCAGCCTGGGCAGGAAAGTCTGTGAGAGTATCTCCAACTGGCCACCAAAAAGCCAGAGTGCCATAACTCTCAAGAAGGCACTATCTCAGCCACACCTCTATTAGACAGCTTTTTGGATCTTTTTGCCATCACAAGCCTCAGCAACCATTTTCACCCGGGCCCAGCAGAAGGCCTGTAATCAAAACTTGAACAGAGGTCACTATGATTGGTGCAGAGTCCTTCATTTACACAAAGGTCTTCCATGATTGGTGCAGACCCTTTGTTACAGTGCCTTGCAGGTTATATATAAGCAGGCTCTTCAACTCACTTTTGGAGTCAACAGGTGGCACCTTCCTATGCTACCAGTAAGGCCCAATAAGTGAGAAGCCAACTGAGCTGGTAACACAAAGAGGAGACAGCATTGACTATGGACAAGGAAGCAAAACAGTATCTGACATGGTGGCAGCAGTGGTGAGAAGATGATCAAACTAAATGTCCAGCTTCCTTCCCAGGGAGCACATTAATATCATATGACTCAACACCTCAATCCAAATCTCATGGACAGTATGATAGGGTGGGCCACCTATCTTGGAGACTTACCAAGAGTTTCTGTTCTTCCTTCCACAAGAAAGAAAAGAGAGGAAGTGAGAGAGGGAGGGAAGATACCTGTGCCACAGGAAGAAAGGGCATTTCTTTTGCCCTGGATTCTTGCAACAGGGCTTCTAAAATCTTAGGATGTACACAGTGAGACTTTGTTGTGAGCTTATGCTAATGAGTTGCCAGGCATGTGCTAGGAAAATACTCTGTCACCTGAGCTAGGCAATCACCCCCAAAATTGTTTATGCAAAGGCAGAATGAGAGGACAACTGTGCATATTAATAGATATATCTTAAGCTATATCTTAAACTGTGAACCTATCAGCCTGGCTACATAAGAGGCTGAGAGTAGGAGGATTGTAGTTCCAGGCCAGCCTAGGCAAAAAAGAAAGCTTTGTGAGATTTTATCTTAATGGAAGAAACTGAGCATGGTGGTGGTGTGTGTCTGTCAGGTGAAATGAGATATAAAATAAGTGGGTTGTGGTCCAGACCCAATGTGGAAAATCTCAAAATAATCAGTGCAAAAAAAGGGACAGAGGCTTGACTGAGCAGTAGAGCAACTACCTAGCAAACTCAAAGCCCTGAGTTCAATCCCAGTACAAAATTAGAAGAAAAAAAAAAAGAGAGAGCGAGAGAGAGAAAGAAAATAAGAAAAGAAAGAGAGAAAGAAAGAAAGAGAAGAAAGTAAAGAGAAAAGGAAAGAAAAGGGGCTTGAATTTAGGGCCCAGCACTCTTCAGCTCAAGGCTGGCACCCTACCGCTTGAGCCACAGTTCCATTTCTGGCTTTTTGTGGTTAATTGGAGATGAGTCTCTTGGATTTCCTTGCCCACGCTGACTTCAAACCGTGATTCTCAGATCTCAGACTCGAGAGTAGCTAGGTAAGATTACGTTAGTGAGCCACAGGTGCCCGCCAAGTGAGGATCGGGTCAATCCTTAGCAGGAGGAAACCTGTTTCTCGGGCAAGAAACATGTCTGGAAAGAGAAAGAAGTCATGAGAGGCCAAGGCCCAGAGCAGCTGGGAGAAGCGCCTGGAAAAGCAGAGCCCAGGGTGGGCCTGACCACCAGGCCTGTGGGTGAAGGCAAGGGAGGCATGGAGAAGGACCGGCCCGGCCTGCCCGTGCAGAAGGTGGCTCGGGTGGCTAGTTGGGTCTATCTGGGTCACAGCAGCTGACCTGGCTGGCACCAATTCCCCCACCTGCCTGGGCTGCCCACTGGGAGGATCCGGAGGAGGGGTCCGGAGGGTGCGCCGCTCTCCCCCGCCCCCCGGGGGGCTTCTGGTTTCATCTAATTGCTAATGACCCACAATTTGTACACTTGCCAGGGTCGCCCTGAGGCCAAGTCGGCCTCTCTTGGGGGTGGGGAGTCGGGGCCCTGGGCTGCGCCCCTGCCGCCCGGAGCGGCGCGCGCACCGGGGATGCGGCCAGGGACGCAGACGGGGAGGCGCCCCGTCCGCGGCTGCCCGGTGAGTGTCCGGGCCCGGAAGGGTTAAGCCCACCGAGCTGGCGGCGGCCTAGAGCGGCGGCGGCGGCGGCGGCGGCGGGCCGCGGCTGCGGCGGGGGACGGCGGGCGGACGGCGGGCGGGCGGGCGGGCGACGGCGGCGGCGGCGGCGGCGGGGGGCCCGGGCGCGGGGGGCGCGGCGGGCGGCGGGGGCGGGGGACAGGATGCGGATGCCGGGGGGACTTCCTGTGCCGGCCCCCGCGCCCCCGCCCCGGCCCGGCCGCTGCCCGCAAAGACGCGCGCACGGGTGGGCGGGCGAGCGATCGGGGACCCGGCCGGGCCGCGGCGCTCGCCCCCCGCCCTGGCCACTGCGGTGCCGCCCGGGCCGCCCCGGGGCTCCGGGCACCTGTGGCCTGCGGTCAGCCACGAGCCGTGTCGCCCGGGCCATCCCGCGGGACCGATCGAGGGCTCCGGCCGCGGCCCTGCTGGGAGCCGCCACGGTCCTCCCGGGCCAGCCTTGAGCCCAGCGCGCCACCCCGGGCTCTGCCTCCCGGCCGGGTTCCCCGCCCGACAGTCTCCGCCAACTTCGTCCCGGGACAACCCTCCGCCCCTTCTCCCGCCCGTGGGCCACCAGGGCAGCCCTGACGGCGCGGTCCCCTCTTCGGATCCGTCTGGATGGAGGCGCCGGCTGAGAACTGTGGCCTCCACCTCGCAGCCTCCGCGGACCACACCTCCCCTCGTTAGAGAAATGCCGCACCAGGTGAGGCCCAGGGGACCTGCACCGGGCGCGGGAACGCCTCCCTTCCGAGGGCCAGCGGGAGCCAGTCAGCCTGGGTACCCCAAGGAGGAGGCCCGGACCCGTCGCCACCTCTGGAGGGTGAACTGTGGGGAGCACAGGCCTGCAGGTGGCAACTGCCTTGGGGTGCAGTGCTCTGAACAGCTTGCTTTTCAGGGAGCTGGGGTGGCACCTGACCCATGTGGCCTGCTGGTGGCCTTGGAAAGGCTAGGCAAGCCTCTACCACAGTCTGGGATGCAGGAGGCCCTGGAGACCACAGAATTGGCTTTGGAAGGGCACAGGGGAATGTGACACAGATGGCCTCTCTTTTAGGACCTCAAATGTAGCGTGACTCCAGCTCCCTGCCCTTGTGAGGGGCTGGATTCTAATAAGAAGCAGCCATGTGGTGGAGCCTTGTGAATGTTGTTTGTTTCGTACCAGTAACTGGTCTTGAACTCAGAGCCTCACCTCACCCTCTGGGCTTTTTCACTCAAGGCTGGCACTGTACCACTTGAGCCATGCCTCCAGTTCAGTATTATTCTGATTAATTGAAGATGGAGTCTCACAGGCTCTTCTGCCTGGGCTAGCTTTAAACCTCAACCAACTTCAGTCTCAGCATCCTGAGAAACTAGGATTATAGGTATTAGCTACCAGCCCCTGGATCCCACTGCTGTTCTAAGCAGCAACCTGCCCAGGATATGCCATCACCTCCCCTCTGAACAGCTTTCTTCTCTCCTCTTAGCACAGCCAGCTAACAAGGATCCTGGAGTGACCTCCAGGATGGAGCTGGGGCCAGCCACAGAGACCTTCATGCTGGAATTGCGAAGTCTTGAGGATGGAGGTCCAGGGCCCGACCCCCAGTCAGGTGAGGGCTGGGGTTGGGGAGGAGCCATGACAGAGCTTTAGTATTACTGTGACAGAGAGAGGCCTCCAGGGCATCCACTCATGCCTGCCCACAGTTGCCTGGAGTCAAAGCCTGCAGGTTTGTCCTCTGGCTTTGTCAGGCTAAGCTTTTGTGAGTGAGGGGCTTCCTGACCTCCCCCTCCACACTTGGCACCTGTATTGGGTTGAGGCTCAGGCTCGGTTTCCCCAGTAGACAGGTGGCTTCTACCACTCTCCTCTCACCTGCCCCTGGCTCTGATTCCAGTTCCCAGATGGAGTTGAGGGGCAGAAGGGCTCTGCCTTGCCCCCTTGTGACTTTTCCCTATAGCTTCTACCCTTTCCCATTCCTCCTTGACCTCTGCTCCCACCTGTTTTCCTCTTCCTGAAGCACAGAGGTGCCTCGCCTTCCAGGCTGTCCCTCCTCGGAGATTCACTATAGGGTGGTCAGCTCATGACAGCCAGTGTTCAGTGAGGGCCTGTAGCAACAGAGTGGCTCTGAGTTTATAAAAGAGCTAGAGGTGGGGCGCTGGTGGCTCCACCTCAAATCCTAGTACTCAGGAGGCTGAGATCTGAGCATCATGGTTCAAAGCCAGCCTGGACAGGGAAGTCTGTGAGATTCTTATTTCTGATTAACCAGCAAGAGCCAGAAGTAGAACTGAGACTCAAGTGGTAGAGAACAAGCCTGAGTGAAAAAGCCAAGCAAGAACACAAAGTCTTGAGTTCAAGCCCCAGTACTAGAACTTAAAAGGAACTGGGGAATTGCAGGGGTCAGCCTGGAACCTATAGATTAAATGATTCTTCTACCTGTAAACTGAACAGAAATCTCTCAAGGGTATACAGACAATATTTAACCACATGTTTACTAAAATTTCCTTCTTGAGGCTGGGAAGGTGGCTCAGTGGTAGAGCGCTTGCCTTGCATGCATGAGGCCCTGGGTTCGATTCCTCAGCACCACATAAGCAAAAAGAAAAAAGCCGGAAGTGGCGCTGTGGCTCATAGTGGTAGAGCACTAACTTTGAGCTGAAAAACTGAGGGACAGCGCCCAGGCCCAGAGTTCAAGCCCCACGACCGGACCCCCCCCAAAAAAAAAATAAAATAAAATTTCCTTCTTGAAAATGCTGGTATTGCTGCCCCAGAAAGTCATAGTAGAGCTGGGCACGGGTTGCTCACACTTGTCATTGTAGCTACTCAGGAGGCTAAGATCTGGGGATTGTGGTTCTAAGCCAGCAGGAAACTCCTTGAGATCTCCAACTAACCACCTAAAAGCTGGAAGTGTAGCTGTGGCTCAAAATGGTCAAGCACTAGCCTTGAACAAGATAACTCGGTGATAGCACCCGGACCCTGAGGAGGGAAAGAAAGGAAGGAAGGAAGGGAGAAAGGGAGGGAGGGAGGGAGAAAGAGAGAGAGGGAGGGAGGGAAGAAGGAAGGAAGAAAGGAAGGAAGGAAGGAAGGAAGGAAGGAAGGAAAAAAAGAAAGGAAGGAAGGAAGGGAAAGAAAGTCAAGAAGAAAAGTTAGAGTGGCCCATGTGGCAAATCTAGACATGAAGAGATTCACAGGGGTGTAATCTATGCAGAGCAGGCAGGAGTAGAGGAGATAAGAGAAAATGGACTGCTAATATGGACAGGTTTTTAGGTCTTCATCCACTATCCCAATGGGTACAAATGTTTCATGAAAAATGAACTCTGATCTATTAGCCTAAGCCAGGGTTATTAGAAATATATTTATATATGGGTCTGGGAATGTAGCTTAGTGGTAGAGTGCTTGCCTAGCATGCTTCAGGCCCTGGGTTCAATTCCTCAGTACCACATAAACAAAACAATTAAGAAACACACACACACACACACACACAGAGGAGCCTGAGATCTGAGGGTCCTGGTTTGAAGCCAGCCTGGGCAGATCAATCTGAAAGACTCTTATTTCCAAATAACCAGCCAAATCTGGAAGTAAAGATGTAGCTGAAATAGTACAATACCAGCCTTGAGTGGAAAAGCTGAGCTAGAGTGCGAGGCCCTGAATCCAAGTCCCAGTACCTGCACAGAAAAGCATAGGAATAAAAAAAGAATAGGATTTATTTTGATATTACAACATTAATACTCAGAATGAAACTGAATGTGGATTTTGTGTAGAAGGGACAGTGTAGCAGTAAGGTGTCTCCTGTGTTTCCAGGCACAACACTGGGATTGCTATATTTATTCTAACTCTCATAATATCCCTGGGAAAGATACAGGACCTTTTGCAAAAGAAGTAGCCAGAGTTGCCAGGAGTTAAGCAGTTGGCTATGTTGACTTGAGGCTTTAAGTTAGTCCCTTATGTTCCTGAACAGCATCTAAACCTCTTCGGTCTTTGAGTGCTTCAATGGAGACAATTAATGTATTTCCAAGCTTGAGGGCATTTAGAAGCATCTTCCAGGTTCGAGAGTCTACTCAGGGTCCCTGATCCTGTGGACAGCTGATAACTGGAAGAGTGAGGACCTGCACTGAGGACGCCTGTCCCACATGAGACCTGGCAGTCTCTCTGACACTTGGGGATTTCTAGAAGCTGTTTTGTGGCAACCATTCCAGGCAGCCTTACAGAAATGCTTTATTATTGATCAAGCATGTTGGTAAACTCATAATCCCAGCTAGCTACTCAAGAGTCAGAGGTAAGAGGATAACAGTCTAATGCCTTCCTGGACAAAAGCATGAAATCCACTGGAAATGTGGCTTAGTGGGAGAGTGCTTGCCTGGCATGCATGAAGCCCTGGGTTTGATTCCTCAGTACCACATAAACAGAAAAACCCAGAAGTGATGCTGTAGCTTAAGTGGTAGAGTGCTAGCCTTGAGCTGACAGGGCTCAGACCCAGAGTTCAAGCCCCAGGACTGGCAAAACAAACAAAAAAGCATGAAACCCTATCTGAAAAAAAAGCCAAAAGGGCTGGAGACATTGTTCAGGTGGTAGAACACTTGCCCAACAAGCATAAGACTTTGAAACCAACATTCAGCACTATACAAAACAAAAACAACAAAGGAAAAGAAACCCAAAATGTTGTACTTGGGCTGGTACTGGTGCTTGAAATCAGGACTTCGTGCTTTTGCTTGGCTTTTGCACTCACAGTTGGTTCTCTACCACTCAAGTCATGCTTTAAATTCCAGCTTTTTGCTGGTTAATTGGATAGTCTTGTAGGTTCACTTGGGCTGGCTTGTCCCAAGTAGCTAGGATTGTAGGTGTGAGCCACCAGCACCCCACAGAGGTGTTATCATTTATAGAGAAGGTGGTTTTCATTTATTTAAGGTGTGATCAGGGCTGAGGTCACTTTGGTAGTTGGGACAGTGAGTTCACTGACTTCCGCTGGAATAGTGTGGGCAGCCCTTGGCACCTGCACTGGTATGGGTGTCAAGATCTAACCATGGAGCTTGTGTGAAGAGAGGGACAGAGGAGGGTATAGGGAGCTGGGATCCCTTAGAATGAGGTGACCATAGTGTAGGCTCCTTCCCCTGGCATTTCAGATTCAACCAGGTTGCCATTGTCACTTGGTCTCATGCTTATGGGTTCCTGCTGCTCGCTCCTTATTTTAACCTCGAGTAGCAGTACACTGACAAGAGAGTGGTCAGGTCCTGGGAGCCCCCTATAGCTCCTTCTCTCTGGCTTCCTATCATCCCATTACAGGTGGTAGTGGTGGAAGTGACAATCAGGAAGAGGTGCAGGAGGAGAGCAGCAGCCCACCACCAGCAACAGTCCCTGCCTCATCCGGGACCAGTACCATCACTGAGGAAGCCCAGCTGGGACGGCAGGACGTGCAACAGTCAAAGCAGCAGCCAGAACTGCAACAGCAGCAACCACAGAACCAGCCAGAATTGTCACAAGAGCAGCAAGGGCACGATGGGCAGAAGCAGCTGTCTTCACCACAGCAGGAACTGCAGGAAAGCCACCAATGCACACAGCACCACGAGCCCCAGCTGCAAGGAATGGAAAAGCAGAGCCAGGAGCAAGTGCCAGAGCCACAGCTGTTGCAGCAGCCCCAAGTGCAAGATCAACAACTGCCACGGGAACAGCTGCAGATAAGGCAAGAGCAGAGCCAGGAGCAAGTGCCAGAGCCACAACTGTTAGAGCAGCAACAGGAGCAATTACAGCAGCAGCAGCAAGTGCAAGATCAGAGGTTGCAGCAGCAAGCACAAGATCAACAACTGCCACAGGAACAGCCCCAGAAGCAAGAGCAACATCTAGTGCAGCAGCAGCAGCAATTACAGCAGCAGCAGGCACCAGATCCACAGTTAGAGCAGCAGCAAGAACAAAGTCAACAATTGCAGCAGGAACAAGTGCAGCAGCAAGAGTACCAGCTGTCACAGCCAGAGCAGCAGCAGCAGCTACAGCAGCAGCAAGTGCAAGAACGGCAGCTGCAGCCACAGGAGCAGCCACACCAGCAGCAAGTGCAAGAACAACAGCTGCTGTTACAGCAGCAGCAGCAGCAGCTGCAGCACCAGCAAATGCAGGAGCAGCTGCAGCAACAGCAGGAACAGCTCCAACAGCAGCAAAGGCAGCAGCAGCAGCTATCACTGCAGCAGCAAGAACAATTACAGCAGCAGCAAGTGCAGGTGCAACAGCTGTTGCAGGAACAGCTGCTGCTGCAGCCACAAGGGCAAGACCTACTACAGCAGCAACTGCTCCATCAACAGCAACTGCTCCAGCAGCAGGAGCAGCTGCAGCAGCAACAATTCCAGCAGCAGCAGGAACAGTTGCAGCAGCAGCAAATACTGTTGCTGCAGCAGCAGGAGCAGTTACAGCAGCAGTTGTTGCAGCACCAGCAGCAGGCACAGCTGCAGCAGCAGCTCCTGCAGCAGCAGCAGGCACACATACAGCAGCAGCTGTTGCTACAGCAGCAGGCACAGATGCAGCAGCAGCAGCCTCCGCTGGACCCGGAGGAGGAGGAGGAGGAGGTGGAACTGGAGCTCATGCCAGTGGACATGGGGTCAGAGCAGGAGCTGGAACAGCAGCGCCAGGAGCTGGAACGGCAGCAAGAGCTGGAGCGCCAGCAGGAGCAGCGACAGCTGCAGCTGAAACTGCAGGAGCAGCTGCGGCAGCTAGAGAAGCAGCTGGAGCAGCAGCAGCGGCTGGAGCAGGAGCAGCTGGAGCGGCAGGAGGTGCAGCTGGAGCTGACCCCGGTGGACCTGGGTGCGCAGCCCCCTCACGAGGTGCAGCTGGAGCTGACCCCGGTGCAACCGGAGCTGCAGCTGGAGCTGGTGCCGGCGGCGGGCGGCGGCGGCGGGGCGGGCGTCCCGGGGGCCCCCGCCGCCGTGGTGGTGGCCCCTCCCGGCTACGTGGTGCTGCAGGAGCCCATGGTGCTGCCCGCCGCTGTGAGCGCGCCGGCCGTGGTGGCCATCCCGGGCCCGGCGGGCAGCGCGGCGCTGGCCCCGGCCCGGCAGCGGCGGCGGCGGCGCGCGCGGGACCGGCCGACCATCTGCGGCGAGTGCGGCAAGGGCTTCAGCCGCAGCACGGATCTGGTGCGGCACCAGGCCACGCACACGGGCGAGCGGCCGCACCGCTGCGGCGAGTGCGGCAAGGGCTTCTCGCAGCACTCGAACCTGGTGACGCACCAGCGCATCCACACCGGCGAGAAGCCCTACATCTGCTCCTACTGCGGCAAGCGCTTCAGCGAGAGCTCGGCGCTGGTGCAGCACCAGCGCACGCACACGGGCGAGCGGCCCTACGCCTGCGCCGACTGCGGCAAGCGCTTCAGCGTCTCCTCCAACCTGCTGCGCCACCGGCGTACGCACTCGGGCGAGCGGCCCTACGCCTGCGAGGACTGCGGCGAGCGCTTCCGACACAAGGCGCAGATCCGCCGCCACGAGCGCCAGCTGCACGGCGCCGGCCGCCCGCGGGGGCTCGGCCTGCTGCGCGCCCCGCCGGCCCCGGGGCCCGCGCCGCCCGCCGACCGGACCCCGCCATGACGCGGGGAGCCCTGGGGGCCGGGGAGGAGGGGAGGCCGGCGCTCACCCACCGGGCCTGGAGGGGGACAGAGGCTGACACCCCCCAGTCTGGGACCTTGACCCGGATTCCAGCGCTTGATCCCGGCCTCTCTGGACAAATCAACGGGAAAGAAAAACTCCTTTCCTGCCCAGACTTCCTGAGGTGTCTCAGGTTCATGGTTTCACCCCCCCCCCAAAAAAAAAACAAACCCATCCCCAAGAGACCCATCCCTGTGGCCAAAAACCGCGCGTGGGGAAACAGGAAGGGCAACAGGGATGCCCAAGCTCTTCTTTTATTCTCATTTTTCTTTGAGAAAATTGGGTTTAAAACTTGACGTATAAACGTTTGATGTGGACCAATCGCCAACCAGGGAATAAAATACATACACTGCGAGACACACACGGAAAGAGATTGGGTCAGACTGGACATTATTTCAAGAGAAAAATAGGGAGGGGGGAACCCTGATGCTGTGCTGAGAATTGAGGAAGGGACTGAAGCATCCCGGGCATTGATTGGCCTTGAAAAGTTCTTGCGGGGATGGAAGTTCACCAGGGAGGAGGTAATTCTGTTGGGAATAGTCTTGGCTCCAGCCAGCCACAGGTGGCTCACACCTGTAATCCTAGCTACTCAGGATGCTGAGAGATGAGGATAGAAGTTGGAGGCCAGCCTGCACAGCAAAATCTGTGAGTCATATCTTTGATTAACCACCAAAAAGCCAGAAGTGGAGGTATGGTTCAAGTGGTAGAATGCTAGCCTTAAATGAAAAAGCTAAGGAAGATCACAAGGCCCTGAGTTCCAGCCCTTGTGTGTGTGTGTGTGTGGGGGGGGAAGCATGGGCGCAAACACATGCACACACACACACACACACACACACACACACACACACTACTCCCACTATGTCCTTATTTCAAGGTCTGCTTCTTAGAAGCCTGGTCTAAGACCAACAGCACTAAAAGCAGACCTGGGCAGTGGAGTCCAAGGATGAGATTCTAGACTTAACCTTCCCTAGTAGTAGGCCAGACTCACATTGGGGCCTGGCATGGAAGGAGTGGGAATTCTCCCTGAGCTTGAAGGACATCTAGGCCATGCCTGGAGGTCACTGAGTCCCCAGAGCCACACCCCCCACCTGCCCCATCTAGGCCTGCAGACATAGACCATATTCTCTTGCAGTTGTGCTCCTTACCCTGCCCAAGACCTTGCAGAGATCTTAAGGTCCGTGTCTTTCTGGAAAGTTCTTGTCTCCCCCCTCTCTCTAAATGCTAATACTGGGGCTTGAACTCAAGGCTTCATGCTCTGGCTTTTTTTTTTTTTGTCTTTTTGCTCAAGGCTGGTGCTTTACTGCTTGAGTCACATGTCCACTTCCAGCTTTTTGTGGTGGTTGAAGGGTTGCTATGGAGATGTTTTCTTATCTCCAGATGAGAGGACACATACCTGCCATCCCAGTTACTTGGGAGGTATCAGCTGGATCTCAGGCAGAGGCCAGCACAGGCATAAATCCAAGACCCTATCTGACAACTAAAGCACAAAAGGGCTAGCGGCATGGCTCCAAGGCCAGAGTTAAAACCTTAGTACCACCAAAAAGCTGCTTTACTCATGAGGACAAAACTCCAAAGACAACCTAGCCAGGAGTCCTTTGGGGCCCGGCCCACTCTTTTTCTGTCTCCTGTGTCTTGTCTGCTTGCTTGCTAAACACGGGCAAGTCCCAGGGCCCATCTTGTGTCTCTTCCTTCTAGCTATACCCTGAGCCCAGGTGGTTCTTTCAGCCCCTGGGTTTTAAAGGCCATCCATTGTAAATAGATGCCTTACCATCTGTGGCATGATGGCTCACAGCCCAGGTAAAAAGTTAGGGAACTCCCCATCTGAACAAACAAGCTTACATTCTTTTCATCCCAGCTACATGGAAGGGAAGGAGGTTAGAGGTCAGGTCCACACTGGCCCCTGGAAAAAAATACTGAGACCCAACCTGGAAAATAACTGAAGCAAACAGTGCTGGGATATGGCTCAGTGGTAGAGTGCCTGCCTAGCAAACTTGAGGCCCTGAGTTCTAATCCCATTACCAATCATCAAGAAAAAGAATGCCAGGCACCAGTGGCTCACACCTGTAATCCTAGCTCCTCAGGAGGCTGAGATCTGAGGATCATGGTTCACAGTCAGTCCATGCAGGAAAATCCATGTGTCTCTTATCTACAATAAACTACCAAAAAGCCAGAAGTGGAGTTGTGGCTGAAGTGATAGAGCTCTAGCCTTGAGCAAAAGACGCTCAGGGACAGTGCTCAGGCCCTGAGTTCAACCTCCAGGACCAGCACCAATAGTAATAATAATAATAATAAAGAAGGCTAAGAAGAGGAGGGGGAGGAGGAGGAAGGGGGTGAGAATGCAATCATAAATCATAAAATTCAATGCATATTCTACAAAATGAAAATTGCAGGAAGGGGTGAGTTGGGAGATGTTGGAGACTGATGAAAGGGGTGGCATTGATCAAGATGCATTGTATTCTTAAGTTGCTTTGTTGAATAGCAACTCCTTTGCACAATTACTTAAAGACAAATAATTTTAAAAAAGAAAGGCAAAGAACTGAAAGTGTTAAAACCAAATTTAAGAAAGAGACCTCAGTATAGAATTAATTCCGGGCTGGCACGGTTGTATATTCCTGTGGTCTCAGCTATACAGGAGGTAGAGGTAGGAAGATCTTGCTTCCAGACAGGTCCTGGGAAAATTAGTGACCCCCATCTGAAATATAACCTAAAGCAAGAAGAGCTGGGGGCACAGAGTAGTAGAGAGTACTTAGCAAGCCTAAGGCAGTGACACACACACACACACACACACACACACACACACACACACACACAAAGAGAACTGACTCAATTCTGCCTACAACTCAGACAAATGGAAATTTATAGTGAAGTTGCTGTGATGGGGCGAGTGTCAAGGGGAGAGGAAAATTCAGAGAACATTCTGCTAAATAGAGTTAGGGTTCATTTATGGAGGCCAGCTACAGGAGATCAAATGTCACCTGGGGCGGGGGCCGAGACTGAGGCTTTAATCAGATACTGAGGATGGGGATTCTGGCTAAACTGACTTGACAGGATTTTTACTGTAACTGGACAATTCAAAAGATGGCACAAAGTGCAAACTTGAGGCTAAGGGAGAAAAGCCGCAGAAGAGCCTGAGGTCTGGTGGGGGAGAGAGAAACTTTGCCTCCCTACCCTTGGACTTCTGGGATCTGCAGGTAAGCACACCTACTTTGGTCTCTTTCTTTCATTTCACAGTGCCCTAAATTAGCCCCAAATATGCCTGCTGGGTACTTTGGTACTTTGGCACCCAGGCCAACGGGGGAGCTGGAAGCTCTTCTTTCTTGGTCTCCCTCTTCTCCAACCCCAGTGACTACTCACTCCTAGCATGCCTTGCAGCCTTCTAAACCCAACATGTCTACATTCTGATGGTGCCATCGGTAATGTGCAGCAAGTTCAAGCCTTCAGCACCCCAGACTCTTCCATGGGTCTTCAAAGTCCTCATGCTAGCCAAAATAGTCAGACATCACTTGGGCATGGGGTGAGATGGAGGGAGAGGGTGCTTGCTTCTTGTCAGCATGGAAATCAGGATGTCCTCATCTTGTTCCATGAGTGGCTCTACAGGCCTGATGCCTGTTCTGTTGTCCTACAGTTCAGATTTTCCTGATAGTTGAAATTTGCCCAAATCTGCTCGTTTCTGGGTGAGGCTGTGTGGCATCCCTGGACTGGCGCTGCAGGAGTTGATCACTGCTCTCTTCTCTCTTGCTGTTGCTGTAAGAAGTTGGCTACCTACCTATGACATTCTTAGAGAGCCTGTTAGACCTCATTGAATGAAAATCAGCAGCTCTTACGCTGGGATGCAGCTCAGGGGGGAGGTGGGTGCGCTTTTCAATGCTGTGTGCATCTTCTCATCAGTGGTGTGACCCTGAGAGGAGAGTCTGGCCTAATTCTTCATTAATTTCTTGGTAGTATGGAGTTTGAATTCAATCCTTGTGCTTGCTAGGTAACAGAGCCATGCTTCCAATTACCGCCCCCCCTTTTTTGTACCAGTTATTATGAAATAACATTTTGATTTTTGCATGAGTCTGCATCTGGACTCTGATCCTACTCAGCTTCTTTCATTGAGATGGAGTCTGATAGGCTCAGCTGGAACCCCCATCCTCTTCAGCTCAGCCTTCCTGGTAGTTTGACTGACAGGCATGCACCTCTGCACACAGCTATTAGTTGAGAGGGAGGTCTAAACATCATTTTTTGGTGTCCATGGTGGCCTCAAACTTTGATCTCAGCTAGGATTACAGGCATGAGCCATTGCACCTGGCTATAATTAATAATTTTTTTTGTTGTTGTTGTTGGTTGTGGGGCCTGAACTCTGGGTCTGGGCACTGTCCCTCTTCAGCTCAAGGCTAGTGCTCTACCACTTGAGCCACAGCACCACTTCCGGCTTTTTCTGCATATGTGGTGCTGAGGAATCGAACCCAGGGCCTCATGCATGCAAGGCAAGCACTCTACCACTGAGCCACCTTCCCAGCCCTAATTAATAATTATTAATTCCCATAGCTTGTTACTGCCACCCTCTCCTGTCTGCTGTATGAGACACCCCTTCCCCTTAAATGCTTTCAGTGCTTCCCTCATCTTTCTCTTTTTCCCTTCCTCACTCCCTCCTTTCCTTCTTTCTTGGTGCCTGCATGGGGCTTGAACTCAGGGCCTGGGTTCTGTCCCTGGGCTTTTTTTCCTTAAGGCTAGCGCTCTTCCACTTTGAGTCACAGCACTACTTCTGGTTTTCTGGCAGTTAATTGGAGATAAGAATCCCATGGACTTTCCTGCCTGGGTTGGCTTTGAACCTTGATCCTCAGATCTCTCAGCCTCTCAAGTAGCTAGGGTTATAAGCATGGCCTGCCAGCGCCCCTTGCTCTCCTCAGGTTCTTCCTGTGTGGACTTTCCTTCCTTACCGTATCTCAGTCTCTGGCACTTTTTAGAATTGGCTGGAGCGCTACCTGTCCTGGGACAGCTTCACCCCATCTTCTGCCCCATGGCTGCTGGTGTATGCCTCATCATCAGGACTTTGACACTTGTTCCATTCCAGGCCTGACACGCTGCAGTGTGGTTGTATTCCTCACTCTGTGTCTTCCCCAGGACCAGCTGGTGACCCTGTGGAGAAGCGGAGGCCTAGGATGAAGGGGCAGCTACTTCCCAGTGCAGTGTCTGTTTTTCTTATTCATTCTTCCCTGCTCTTGTCCCACAGGCAAACTGCCAATCCCCTCCCCCCTTCCCCTCTCTTCTAGCTCGCTACACAGTGGGCAACAGTGGAACCAGCCCCTGATCTGGGCAGGCCATCAGTTACATGGTCTGCTTTCAGTCTTCCTGAAAGCTGGAACTGATTGGTTCCCTTCCCTTTTTGGGTTTCCAGCCCAGCAGATGCTCCACAGGAAGGCAGGTGACTGGCAATCTTTGGGTATATCCGTATTTGGGTCCATCATAGTGAAAACTAGTATCAAATTCTACCCAATTCCCAACTGTCTACTAGAAGGAATATGGACACCTGGTCTAATAGCTGCTAGCAAAATACCCTATCACTGTCAGACAGGCCGAGTTGTGAGCGCCTCTTGTAATCCATGGTAGAACATGGGCTGAGTCTTAGTTCATGTGCTTGGCTCTGCTGCTGTCCTGGAGCCCTTTTTGCTCACAGTCTAAGTTCCCACCTTGTAGTTCCTGCTCCTCATCAGCTTTCTTCTTCCTCCTTTCTTCTTCCTTCCCTTCCCCTTTACCTCTTCCTCCTCTTCCTTTTTTCTGGGGGGGGGGGGGGGGAGGGAGGACAGAGTCTCACTATATAGGCCAGGTAGGCTTTGAACTGGAGATCTTTCTGCCTCTGCCTCCAGAGTGCTGAGATTACAGGCGTGCATATCCAGGCCTGGTCCTCTTCCCACCTTCACAGTCCTGCTATACTTCATCAGCCTGTCATATCCTTCTGCCCATGATTCCCACCTAGATCTGGAATAACATGCCCCTCACATGGGGCTAGGTGGGATTGAAAGTTGAAATTTTAAATATTTACTTATTTATTACCAAAGTGGAAGACAGTGTCTCTTGTAGACAAGTGCTCTACCAATTGAGCCATATCCCTAGACCTTCTGGTTTTGTTTTTGAGGCACAGTCTTGCTACCTTTGCTCAGGTTGGTCTCAAACTCACTATCTCCTGCTTTGCTTCCCAATAACTATTATAGGTGCACACCACTACTCAAGGTAGAATTAAACAGTAAATGAAACATGGTAGTGATCATGCATGGTTGTACACAGCTGTAATCCCAACACTTAGTAAACTGAGGCAGCAGGATCATAAGTAGAAAGCGAGTCCAGGCTACCTGGCAGGTTCTGGGTCAGCTTGGCTATGAGACTGTCTCAAAATGTTGAGAGGGGTGTGGGCTATGAATATCCCTGTAATGAACTGAAGGGTATTGGGGTCTTGGGTAAGGATCAAGCCTGGGGAAGGCCAAGGGGAGATCTGGATGTTGGTATAATGTATGCGTGGGACTCTAAGGCAGGGGCAGGACAGTTGATTTTTACCCTCCCCCACATCAATTTATTTTCTGGCTCTGGATCCAGAGACTGACCCTTGAGAGCTGTGTTCTTTGGGTCCCATCCACCAGTCTCAGAAGTACTGCTAGGAAGTGGCGCTGTAGCTCAAGTGGTAGAGCGCTCGCCTTGGGCTGAAGAGCTGAGGGACAGCGCCCAGGCCCAGAGTTCAAGCCCCACAACCGACCAAAAAAAAAAAAAAAGAAGTACTGCTAAATGCCCGTTGCTCATGCCTGTCATCCTAGCTACTCAGGAGGCTGAGATCTGAGGATTGTGATTGAAAGCCAGTTTAGGCACACCAAGGCAGTACTGGCAGGTGACTAGGTGCAGGAGGGATGTTCTCTTTGCTCTGTCTCCCACTGTCTCTCTGCAGTCAGTTTCCACTGGGTGACCTCAATCTGCACACTTCTAGCTCGTTCTTTCTTTTCCTTCCTCTCTGTCTCTGTCTCTCTCTCTCTCTGGGCCTGGGCGTTGTCCCTGAGCTCTTCAGCTCAAGGTGAGCGCTCTACCACTTGAGCCACAGCACCACTTCTGGTTTTGAGTGGTTTATTGGAGATAAGGGTCTCATGGCCTTTCCTGCCCAATCTGGCTTTGAACTGTGATCCACAGATCTCAGCCTCTTGAGTAGCTAGGATTACAGGTGCAAGCCATTGGCATCTGGCTGACTTATAGCGCTTTCTAAGCATGATGGCACCCAACTTTTGTCTATCCTTCAAATCTAAGGGTGTGGGGGAGGGGGACACACTGATAGGCTCATACTCTCCACATTCCCATGCTTTTCTTTGCCTGGTGACACTGCTTTTGGTTAAATTATTCTGTCCCTTGCCCCTTTCTTGGGACCTTATGGGGGGAAGGGTTCCTGCTGTATCTAGATCAGGAAGGATGCTCAAGGGCCTAAGCTGGGGATCTGAGTTTCCCAACCAACTCCTCCCTCCCTCTCTTGTTCCCTCTTTTTAAAATAGGGACTCAATTTTTAATCTAAAAAAAAAAAATGTGTGTGCTGCTACTAGGACTTGAACTTGAACTCAGGGCCCTAGTGCTGTCCCTGAGCTTTTTGGCTCAAGGTTAGTGTTCTACCACTTAAGCCATTACTCTACTTCTAGCTTTTTGGTAGTTAATTGGAGATAAAAGAGTATTACAGATTTTCCTGCCTAGGCTGGCTTCCACCGTGATCCTAAGATCTCAGTGTCCTGAGTAGCTGGGATTACAGGTGTTAGTGGCTGGCACCTGCCTTTCAAATCTTAATCCCTTTGTCCAGTTGAGGTTCTGAAATTGAGTGAATTTATTTGTTAGGAGCGAGAAGTTCTTTTAGTCTCCTCCTAGTTGCTGCCCTGTTTTTGAAGGTTCAAGGCTGGAGTTCATTACAGAACGTATAACAAATCATGGTGGGTGGGAGCTGGGGAAGAAACTCATACCACACCATTCCAGACTGAAGAAAACAAACAAACAAACAAAAAAACGCCCAGGACTTCCGTGGGTTTCACAGCGCACGGTTAACCCTCGTTTGTGTCCCCCCTTTGTGGATGCGGACAGATTTTTGGAGGGGATTGTGCCAGCGATCAATGAATTCACACATCCTCCATTGCTCCCGCCCCTGCCTGTTTATCACTCCAGACTGCTTGTGAGGGCCATCTATCTGCTGATCTTCTTTTCTCCCTACGGTCCACAACCCTGCCTGCTTCCGACTGCCGCTGTCCACTGAACGCTTCAGTCCTTGATCGCTGCTGGCCATCTGCCCTCCGCATTCCGCCCTAGACAGTTACCAAGCATTGTCCTCACATGAATGGACACCTGGTCCACCCACCTGGTCCAGCTCTGCTCCTGCCGACAGAAATAGAGACAGCAACAAGACAGAGATGACAGAGAAGAGAGCGAGAGATCAACCTCTGGGGGGCTCCCTGGAGCCAGACCGGCCGGATCCAGGCCCGCTGGGGGCCGGTCCTTCGTGGGGCCGGGGAGGCGCACGGACGCGGCCCTGACACCGAGCACGCGCCGCTCTGTGGACCACGCGGGGGGGGGGATGGAGTGGAGGCGGTGTTCCCGCAGAAGATGGGGGAGCCCCGTGGCCCAGGCACGCTGGATTGTGGGGACCTACGAGCGTCCAGGGCGCCCCGCGCCCCGTCCTCGCGCGCATCCCGGCAGCGCCGGGGCCGGAGCGCTGGGCGACCGCGCGCCGCCGGGCCCCGCGTGACCGGAAGTTCCCCCCCGTGGGCGCGAGCGGGGCGGGGCCGGCAGGCGGCACTTCCGGTGCCCACGCGCCGCCACCGCCGCCGCCGCCGCCGCCGCCGCGCAGCTCGCAGCCGTCACTTTGTGCAGCGCGGGCGCCCGGCGGCCTGAGGCGCGGGCCCGTGGTCGGGGCCCGGCCCGGCGCGCGCAGTGAGTGGGGCGCGCAGGCGGCAGGTGCGGGTGGGCCCGACTCACGCTGGGGGGGGCACGGTGGGGCGCTGGAGGCCGCGGGGGAGGGGCACGGGGCGGCGCGGGGGTCCGGGCCCGGAGGGATCACCCGCTGCCGGGGGGGGGGGGTCCCCGGCCTTCCCCGGCAGCACGGGGCTCCCCACGGGGCGCCGTGGCCCCCGCCCGGGCCTGCGCAGCAGGGACGGCCGCGACCCGCGGAGCCTGGCAGGCAGGCGGCGCCGAGGGGGCGGGCAGGGGAGGACACGCGCGGCGCGGCGCGGCGTCGGACGGGGACCTCCCCTCCTGCCGGGGGCGGGGCTGCAGCCGCCCCCGCCCCCGGGACACACCCATCCAGGAGGGGGCCCGTCGCCGCCGCCGCGGCTCCGGCGGGAGGTGGAGGCAGGCTGAGCACCCCCAGGAGGTAGGGAGAGAGGGCCGCTTTTCCAGGCCCCCCCCCACAGCCTTGCTTTGTGACCTTGGTGGGGGCCCCCACGGCTGAGCTTGCCCTCATCTGCAAATGGAGGCCCTGCTGGGCCTCTATGCTAAGTCTTCTCTTGCCAGCAAGGGGGAGGGGGTGTCAGGTTGAATGGAGCCTGGGGTGGCCAGAGAGGTGGGAGAGGAGTCAGGGTTAGGTCAGAGTGGACATGGGCCCCCAGGAAAGGGAGGATCCATCCCTAGCTCAGCCTGTGCCAGCGGGAGGTTTGGCAGTTGGTTTGGTTTAATCAGTGTGGGTAGGTGGGGTGGTGGCGGCTGTCACCCCCCCCCCCCCCCCCCCCCCCGCTGCCCCCTGGAATGGAGAATGGCTGCTATGGGTACACCTGCACCAGGAGGGCAGGGATTGCTGAACCCCAGGGAAGGGTGGTGAGGGTCATGTTGGCCAGGGAGGGCCATCTTCCCGGTGGAGACCCAAAACTCTGAAGGGCCTTGCAGTCAGTGGTGCAACAGGGAAAGAAGGTAGGCGTGTCCTGCAGCCTCCCTCCCTCACCTCCCCCAGGTGGGTTTCCCTGGTGTGGACACTTTGGGGTAGGTTCTAAGACTTTTCAAACTTGGCCACTTCTTTTGTCCTTGTTCTCTCCTTGTCCCAGCTTGTCACCTCCACTTCTAAATGTCTGTAGCATTTTACCTAGGGTTCAGGAGTCCAGTGGAGAAGAGGGTCTGGGAGGACTCAGAGGCTGAGATGATGAGTTTTTTTTTTTTTCTTGCCTGAGCTTCTGACCTAGAGTCAAGGCTGAATGAGTTTCTCCCAGGGCTGAGAGGCTGCCTGTGTGTGTGATTGGGGGTGGGGGGAAGAGGGAGGGAGAGTACGATTCTAGGGATGACAGGGAGACTTCAGAGCCTACATTGCTCTAAGTTGTGACCTCCCTGCCCCTGAGGTCCATTTTCAGAGCCTTGTGCTATGAATTCTGGTCAGGTATATAGAGGGGCTGTTGTTGGTCCTGGGCTTGCCTACTGACCACTGACGGGGCTCTGCTTCCTTTCTGGTCATGAGTGGGTAGACTTGTCAGCAGAAGGGACTTTACCTATTGCCCTCTTTGGAGACAAGAGGCTCCAACAGCCGCTGTGAACTAGGGTCCTACTTCAAAGCCCCCTGTCCCCTCAGCTGTAGTCCTGTTCTGGAAGATGACAGCAGGGCCTAAACTCTGAGTTTGATAAATTCATGTCCATCACATCAACTGTGCACCTTAGACACTGCTTCATCAAATATGGGAGAGCTTACTCTAGGTCTGGAATGGGGATAGCAAAAGGAGCTCCCACTGTCCCCCAGTTAACTGTTCTCAGGTCAAGAAAATGTGGTGCTACCAGAGAAGAGAAAAAGGACTGGCACAGGATGGCTGTGGAGCATCATCCAAACAGTGGGAAGAGTGCTGGGGGAGGGAGAGGACTAGGGAAGCAGAAGGGTACAATGAGCCTCTGCAGTGATGAGGCAGGGCCTCTGTATTCCCAAGTCTCCGGGTTTCCTCCTTTGTTGGGTTCTTAAATATCATGGCCTCACTCTGGGGTGTCTGAGGTTGCTGCCCTAGGTGGTGGCCAGGTAGATGCTAGCTTTGCTAGTGTCTGGGCTCGCCTGGAATTTGCAGCCTGAGGCCTGAGAACAGCCTTCCTCTTGGTGGGTGGTGGTTGGAAAACTGCTGGTGAGTGTTCGCCGTGTCTGGGCAGGGCTGTGTCCTAGGGCAACATCAGGACCAATGTTTCTACACTCCAGCATCTTCCCACAGTAGAGGAAAAGGCTGAGGCAGGCAAGGCCTCCCTAGATTCAGTGTGTGTGTGTGTGTGTGTGTGTGTGTGTGTGTGTGTGTGTGTGTGTGTGTGTGTGTGTGTGTGTGTGTGTGTGTGTGTGTGTGTGTGTGTGTGCGTGCGCGCGCGCGCATGTGCGTGCACATGCGTGCATGTGCGCTCACTCGTGCAGGTTCTGGGGCTCGTACTTGAGGCTCGTACTTTAGCTTTTTTTTTGCTCAAGGCCAGCACTCTACCACTTGAGTGATAGTTCCTCTTCCAGCTTTTGTGGTGCTTAATTGGAGATAGAGTTTCTCGGACTTTTCCTGCCCAGGCTGGCTTCCAACAGAGATCTTCATATCTCAGCTTCCTGAATAGCTAAGAGATAAGCAGGACTGTTAGGACAGAAGTGGCATCTGGATGCCAGGTGGTCCTGGTCCCTAGTCTTAGTGAGTCTGCACAGAGGCTCAGTTTTCTAGATGCTGAAGTATGTGTTTTAAACAGCTGCTCAGAGCAGTGTGGGAGATGAGCATGTGCCATCTGAGCAGAGAAGTCCAGTCCTTGGGTAGTCTCTTGTGTGTCCACAGGCATTTTACTCAGGCTGCTGCAGTCTGATTTTAGTTGTTTTCCCTCTCATGTGGTCGTGTGGCCTGCACTTCAGGATCCTTTGGGAATCATCTTCAGGGTTGTGGAATGGTCCGACTTGCTTTAGAAATGTCTCATTAGACTGGATATGCTTCAGGGGCCAGTGCTGGTGTGAGACTCAGTCTTTGAGTTCATAGCCCAAAGGTAACCACAGAGACAAGCCAAGTCAAGATCATAATCATGGGCTGGGAATGTGGCTTAGTGGTAGAGTACTTGCCTAGCATGCTTGAAGCTCTGGGTTCAATTCTGTAGTACCACATAAACAGAAAAAGCCAGAAGTGGTGCTGTGGCTCAAGTGGTAGAGTGCTAGCCTTAAGCAAAAGAAACTCAGGGACAGTGCCCAGGCCCTGGTTTCAAGCTCCACCACTGGCAAAAAAAAAAGAAAAAAGAAAAAGATCATAATCATGACTGTCCTGCCTGTGGGACTCCACAGGGGCTGGGGAACGACGCACAGCAGGGCCCCAGAGGGCTCCAGACACAAGGCCCTGAAGCAGTGTGGCTGGTATGCCCTTTACCCCTGGGTTAAGCCATCTGTGAACTTGGCAGGAGAGTAGGACCCCATGGGCCGAGTCTCATCCTCAAAGTTGAAGGAATGTCCCAGGGAATTTTATTCATCTGTTTTGGCCTGGCAATGAGCCCACCTCCATGACCCTCTGAGCTTTTCCCAGATGCCCTAAAATGCTGCTGGAGGTAAGGGCAGAGGGGAGGACGACATGTTCTCTTGGATCCCTTCTCTTGCCTAGCTCTCAGGAAGGAGCCTGGCCCTGCTTGATTCTTAGCTCTGGTCTCCCCCTCCCCCAATACAGTCCAGCAAAGCTGCAGATCCTGCCTCGTGCCTGTCCAGCCTTGGAAGTGCCTGAAGTCTGGCTGCATGCAGGCCTTGCCACCTTCTGCCTGGTTCATGCATGCTGAAGGCTGGGTAAGCACTCTGCTGGCAGTGGGCTGCCTCTGTAGGTTAGGCTCACCATTACCCAAAAAAATATAAGCAGCCATGGTCTATATTGATTACCTCTTGTGGGTCCTGAGGACCCAGACTCTGTAAAATGCTCTTTGTACCCAACAAAAAGGATGGCAGCTTAAAGCCAGGTTCTAGCAGCCAGAGAGAAAGCGTGGAGGATATGACCCAGGGATTTCCAGTGAGGGGCTCTTGAGCAAGTGAGGCTCTTTGTGGATCTGGAATGGGCCAGTTACATAGTATAAGATGATGGACAGCCAGGTGCCGGTGGCTCACACCTGTAATCCTAGCTACTCAGGAGGCTGAGATCTGAGGATTGCGGTTCCAAGCCAGCCCTGGCAGGAAAGTCCGTGAGACTCTTATCTCTAATAAACCACTAGAAAACTGGAAGTGGCGTTGTGGTTCTAATGGTAGAGCACTTGCCTTGAGCTGAAGAGCACAAGGACAGCGCCCAAGCCCAGAGTTCAGGCCCCATGACCGACCAAAAAAAATGATGATGGACAGTGTCCTGGTCTGTCATCAGCTCTATTGGCTGCATCTGTTTCTCCACCTGTGTTTCAGGCCAAGAGGAGGCTTGCTCCCCAGGAAGATGGCAGCTCTTCACACGACTTCAGATTCCTCGGCTGTCCAGCTGGAGAGGGTAGAGGACAGAGTGGAATGTGGTACTGACCAGGAGGAGGAGGAAGAGGAGGAGGAGAAGCAGGGAGAGGTAGAAGATTTGGAAGAAGAAGAGGAGGAGGAGGAAGAGGAGGAGGAAGAGGAGAAGGAAGCACAGGTACAGAAGGTGGCAGAGGTGGAGGTGAAGGCCAACTTGCTGGAGGAGGAGAAGAAAGAGAAGGAAGAGGAAGAGGAGGAGGATGAGGTCCTGGCAGAGGAGCCGAGTCCTGGCTTGGAGACGGGGGATCAACATAGCCATGATGGTGACACCAAGTCCACAGTTCTTCTGAGAAAGTGTAAGAAAAAGGAGCAGCCCTTGCGGGAGGAAGAAAAGGGGCCAGGGGGGATCCAGCTGGGGAGAGCTCTGGGGCCCCAGGGAGAGCTGGAGCTGGAGCTGTTGGCATAGCCCAGCACAGGTTTTAAAATGAGGGAGCAGCTAGGTTGCTGCAGCTCTGCTTGCTGTCTGAGCACTGGCCCCTCAGAGATCTTTTCCTTCAGCCCTGCAGGCTTCCCGGCTTGTAGTTACTGCTCTAGATGAAGAAGAGGAGGAGGAGGAGGAGGAGGAAGAGGAGGAAGAGGAAGACTTCCTGACAGCTGGGTCCCAGGTGAGCTGCCCTCTGATTTGGAGCAGGTCATCAGGCAGGGTTTCCCCACAGTGCCTCTCCCACCTGCAATCTGGAGCCCTCTGTGGGCAGCAGACAGGACAGGACTGTAGATTCCAGACGGAGGGGCTGAGCTCTGCTTGTTCAGTGACCTCAGGGACCTAGCTGTCTCCCAAGGTCAGGCTGCTGCCTCATCTGTCCAGGGCCCATTTCCATGCTGCTCAGTGAAATCAGCCTACACTCATCTGCACAGGTGCCCTTGCCCCTGGAGTAGGTCCTCACTGTTGACGTGGCTGTTGACATGGAGGGGCTGTGGAGGCTTGGTTTTATGCCTCCATAAGATTATCATTTTCCGTCTAATCTGGAGTCCTCATCTCTGGATGGGAATGGCCCTCACCTCCAGGGCTGGAGTGCAGCCAGAGGGGGCCCACAAGGTATCTGGAACCCCATCCAAATCCACATTGCAGGTCCTTACAATGTTCTCACGGGTGGTGCTAGCAAGCTCCCTCAGCTGTTTACCTGGAGCAGCTGACCAGGGATGTGTTTTCCAGGGATTGGTGACCTTTGAGGACGTGGCTGTGTACTTTTCCCTGGAGGAATGGGAAAGGCTGAATGTGGAGCAGCGGGCCCTCTACCAGGAAGTGATGCAAGGGAACTATGGGATCCTGGTGTCCCTGGGTAAGGAAGGAAGGGAAGGGAAGGCGGGATGGAGGGAGTGGAGAGAGGGAATGCAGGTGGGCAGGCTGGCCTTTGATTCTCAAAGGCTGTCTGCTGGCATGGCTGTGGTGGTGAAGCCAAGGAGGAGCTTCTCAAGCCCATGGTCTCAAATTGGGCAGGTTCTGAGGCTAGCCTATTCCAGGGAAGACCTATCACCGCCTTGGCCTGTGGGGTGGGGAGGTGAGCCAGGTGGACCCATTCTGTGGAACTGCTGGCCCAGGGGCTTGGCTGGGGAGCAGGGGAGGGTTGGGGATGGGGCCTGGTAGGAGAGTGGGGTAGTGAGGGCAAGGCTTTCAGGAAGCACAATCTCCAGGGCAGAGCAAGGAGATGAGGGCTGGACCTGGAAGCAGGAAGCAAAGCTCTGTGCTATGGGGTCTCCTGTAATGGCTACTCTTTTGCTTCTCTTTTGGGTAGGCTACCCAATCCCCAAACCAGATTTGATTTTCCGCCTGGAACAAGGGGAAGAACCTTGGGTTCCAGATAGCCCCCATCCTGAGGAGGGCGACATTGTCACTGGAGTCTACACAGGTGAGCATGACAGGGGATATGGAGATCTTGTCAGACTTTGGCCTCTACCCAAGCTGTCTGCAGGCCTGGAACCCAGTCCTTCTGCCACCTCCACTGGTCAGTACTAGTGGTTTGTAGGTTGAGTGGCTTTGAGAAGCCAGAGCTGCTGTGTGACATCTGTCCTCTGCCCTTACCTCTTGAATTCTCCTGTTCTGGCTCCATAAGAGCCTACAGGCAGGCTAAAGAATGGCTCCCAGTTCATCTTGTAGCCTGTTTTTTTTTTTTTTCAATACCACTTTTTTAATGGTATAAAAATGATGTAAGGGCTGGGAAGGTGGCTCAATGGTAGAGTGCTTGCCTTACATGCATGAGGCCCTGGGTTCGATTCCTCAGCACCACATAAGCAGAAAACACCTGAAGTGGTGCTGTGGCTCAAGTGGTAGAGCATTAGCCTTGAGCTGAAGAGCTGAGGGACAGTGCCTAGGCCCACGGTTCAGGCCCCAGGACTGACAAAAAAAAATGTGCAGAGGGATTAGTTATGTAAGTCTGGTTGTAGCCTCTTTTTTGTTGTTTTACAAATGAGAGCAGCTGTCAAGGTGTTGGTACAAGTTGCCCTGTAGACCACAAGTATATTCTTTCTGCGTCCAAAATCTTCACGAAGCCTCTGACTTCTCATTTGTCCACTTCTGGAAAAAGGGCCACTTCAGATGAGCCATGGCAGACTGTGGCCTGGGTGGGCAGTTCTGGGCCTTGTGCAGAGACTTGGGGACAGTGTGTACAGAGGCATTCAGGTACCAAGCCTTGGGCCTGTTCAACTTTGTGAGCTCCACTTGATTAGTGTGAAGAAGAATTAAACCTGTCCATTCCAGCCCGAGCATGTCCAACTTGTGGTCAAGTCAGGGTACCTTGTGGAGTCTGCAACCACCCTAGGGTTCTGTGGGGTTGGGTGGGGGTCCTGGGCCAGTAAGGGTCTATGATGCTGTCAGACTGGGAGGGGGTACTAAGTAGCTATTATTGTCAGCCATCATTATTTTCCTTCTTGTTGATATTGGGCTTGGAACTCAAGGCCACACATTTGTGAGGCAGGAGCTTTACCAAGTGAACCATGCTCCAGTCTTAAACTTACCCTTTTTTGTGGCATTACTGGGGTTTGAACTCAGGATCTTATGCTTGCTAGGTAGGTATTCTTCCTGCTGGGCCATACCCCCACCCTCGTTGAACTCATTTCCTGTCAGCCCCAGTTTGCTCTGGAATGGAGAATGTGGCTGCAGGCTGCACATGGTGTGTCATTACCTGGCTGGTGTGTCCCTGCCTGGTCGATGTCTGGCCCTGAGTGTCCATGCTGAGCTGCTGTTCTACTTTCTCAGATGGACTATTGTGCCCCAGTGTCCCTGCTTCCTTGTTCCTGCACCCCCTTCCTAACACATTCCGAGTGGGCACCGGGGTTGCTCACCCTTGTGTATCTGTGCCACCCAGAATACTCATGGTGAGTCAGTGATGGCTCCTATAGGACCTGGTACTGTGGGGTGGCTCCTGCACCTCTACTGAAAGTGAAGGGTAAAAGACAAGCGCAGCACCCAAATAGAATTTACACAGGAGAGGACAGAGTTGAAGTTTCAGAGGGAGTAAGAGGTAGATGATTAGCAGCAAGCAGCCAGGGGCCTGGAGCCCCCGTGAGATCTCCTCCTACAGGTAGAGGCAGACAACTCAGCAATAAACGTTGGGAACCTCAAAGAGGCAGACTGTTGAGTGGAGGGGACCTTGGATATCAAGAGTCCCATTTCTAGTCCTAGTCAGGGGACTGGGAGGGCCAGCTTATCCCTGGCCTGGGAATGCTTTTTTCCTTGCAAATCATATGTGAGGCTGGGTGCTGGTGGCACACACCTGTAATCTGAGATCTAAGGAGCCAAAGCCAGCTCTGGCAGGAAAGTCTGTGAGACTTTTGTCTCCAATTAACTACCCAGAAAAAGCCAGAAGTGGCTTTGTGGTTCAAGTGGAGCCATTGTCACTGGACATCTCAGGGTCAAGAACTAGAAACCCTGAGTCATTTCAGCCATAAAACAAAAACAAAAAAACAGAGGATGGAGCCATCTCCTGGGCAGGCCAGCTTCTCCAGGATCCCACTGGATCCTCCCAGTGCTGCAGTGATTTTGAGAGCTTATCGCTTAAGACTGCAGCCAGCCTTGACCTCCCCAAGGTATGGGTGCCCTTCCTCTCCCTTGCTATGTGTTCTCAGTGGTCTCTGTTCCCTTGATGCATGTTTAGGACAGTGGCCCCTGCCCAAGCTCTGGAGGTAGTAAGGTGTGTTCCCCCTTTGGGGGTGGGGGTCAGGATGGGGCTTGCTCATTTCCCTAGTCCACTGGCATTCCTACTGCCCCTGCTGCTTTCTGAACAGAGGTGGGTGGGAGGAAGCCATGGGGACCCACCACCCTCCCAGCTCCTGGCAGCAGGGGTGCCTACCTGGCAGCAGGTGGCCCTCACTGGCCCGGTATCCAGTGCTGTGACTCTCCTGATATAGCCAAGTGTTTTTAGTCTTTGACTGTCCTGAGGGGTACAGACTCATTTGCTCACAACTCTACAAGAAACAGCCATTCCTTAGTGTGGATTCCCTTCCTGTTAGGGTGCTCTACTTACCATCTACTTCAGACCCTCATCAGAGCCTGGGGAAAATTCTTTTACCCAGCTAGGCTGTCCTGAGGCCCAGCCTTCCCACACTGGGGAGCAAAGAAGAGCACTCAGCCAGGAAAGGGGGGGGGACTTTTTTGTGCCACTTTTCTCACTAAAGTGGCCATGATAACCAGATGCTGTTCATTTAAACCTTATGTTTACTATAGTAGTATAATATTATTAGCTATAGGAAATGTAGACTGAATCACAAAGTATTGCTGGGTGTGATGGTGCGTGCCTGAAATCCCAGCCACTAGGAGGCGTAGCTTCTAAGAGGCTCATGGTAGGCCCTGCCTGGGCAAAAAGAGGAGACTACCCCCAAAATAAGACTAAAACAGGTCAAGGGTGTGGCTCAGTGGGAGATGAGTAGTGATAGATCACCTCCCTACCCAGTAAGCGTCCCTGAGTTCAAATGCCAGTAACATAAAACATTAAAACATTACAAAATATAAAAAGAATTACCCAGTATTTTGTCCTCCTATTTGATCCGTGTGTGGCATTGTCACTGCTGTGGTCAGGTCTCTGCACTTCCATCTGGCTTAGTTTCACTTGGCACTCTGCAGCATCCTCCCATGTCACTGGGTGATCCTTTTGTGCAGAATAGGGGCCTGGAGAAGGGCAGCGTTTGCCATGAGGGGCTCTGAGGCTTCCAGGGCTCTGGTCCTTCCTTGAGCTCTAGCTATGGGCTAGAGTCTGGGGGGAAGCCAGGTGGGGTGAGGTGTGTCCACACTAGCTGTGTGTTCTTGAGCCTTCCAGATGCTGTGTGCTCTGATCACCTGGGCTGCCAGGGCCTGGGTGATTTTTCCCTGTGCTACCTGAGTAACTCTCTCAGTACTGTGATGGATATAGACTGATTCCAGAGCTGTGCTCAGTGCCAACCCCACAGAGGGAGAGGTTGGGGTTCATCTTAGAGGAGGTGGCAGAAATTCTGTAGTCTGGTGGCTTGGGGTCTTAAAAGCAGTTTCAGAAGACCCACGCTGAGGTGTCTCTGGAGGGATTAAAACCCTGCAGCACAGACGCTGGGACCTGTTGGGCTGCCCCCAGGCCACTCTGCCCAGTGCTGTTGTGGGAGTGGGAGGAGCCTCTCGCTGCTAGTGGAGCCCAGCAGAGGCTCAGCTGCCAGCCATGCTGTGCTGTGCCTCTAGGCTGAGCTGCTGGGGAGACAGCCCCATCCATGCCTTCCCTCTGTGGGCCCAGAATCGCTGTCATGGCTTAGTTTGGGTCTCACAGGAAACTGCAGCCAAACTCACCCATTTCATTTTTTTTTTTTTTGTCAGTTGTGGGGCCTGAATTCTGGGCCTGGGCACTGTCCCTCAGCTCTTCAGCTCAAGGCTAGTGCTCTACCTCTTGAGCCATAGCGCCACTTCCGGCTTTTTCTGTTTATGTGGTGCTGAGGAATCGAACCCAAAGCCTCATGCATGCAAGGCAAGCACTCTACCACTGAGCCAACCGCCCAGCCCAAACTCACCCATTTCACAGTCTCTTGTCCTCTGCAGCTGACGAGCCCCAGATGGCCTGGGGAACCAAAACCTGAGCCTTCCTGGTTAGGTGTTCATGCCCCATCCTCACCAAGTCCCCAGCCACTGGTAAGTGGCTTTACCACCAGGGACCTGCTCGGGCTGGCAGGGAAGCGGACCACCTCTCAGTTGCGTGGAGGTCTCCGTCTACAACTCTTGACCCGCTCCTATCACATCCTCTTATCCCTCTCTTCTGGCCCAACTTTGTCACCTCCAGGAGCCTGGTACTGGACTGACGACCTAGAGGACCATGAAGAGGAAGACGATGAAGACTTCTTGGCAGAAATGGCTGAGGAGGAGAATGAGCCACCCGGGCTGTGGTCTGCCGCCTATGGAGTTGGGGACGTGCCTGGGACCTGGGGCCCCGACGACTCGGATTCCGGGCAGACTGCGGAGGGGTGGGGACCAGACTCGGGTGGCCTCGGAATCCTGGCAGATGAGGCTGGGGCAAAGCCCTTCCTGGGGCGGGAAGAGCTGGCGCCCTGGGCGTTCCCAGTAGTGGCCGCCCCAATTGGGCGACCGGAGACCACATGTGACGTGTGCGGCAAGGTGTTTCCGCACCGGTCCAGGTTGGCCAAGCACCAGCGCTACCATGCAGCCGTCAAGCCCTTTGGCTGCGATGAATGTGGCAAGGGCTTCGTGTACCGCTCGCACCTGGCCATCCACCAGCGCACGCACACCGGCGAGAAGCCGTTCCCGTGCCCGGACTGCGGCAAGCGCTTCGTCTACAAGTCGCACCTGGTCACGCACCGGCGCATCCACACCGGGGAGCGGCCCTACCGCTGCGCCTTCTGCGGCGCGGGCTTTGGGCGCCGCTCCTACCTGGTCACGCACCAGCGCACGCACACGGGCGAGCGGCCCTACCCATGCCCGCACTGCGGACGCAGCTTTAGCCAGAGCTCGGCGCTCGCGCGCCACCAGGCTGTGCACACCGCCGACCGGCCGCACTGCTGCCCGGACTGCGGCCAGGCCTTCCGCCTGCGCGCCGACTTCCAGCGCCACAGGCGCGGTGGGGGCTGCACGGAGCCCGGCGGCAACGGCTCGCAGCCGGAGCCCCGCAACGTGGCGATTGCGCCTGGGACCGAGGAACTGGAGGTCGGGCCCGAGGAAGCTGAGGAGCCAGAGACCAGCGCCGCAGATGGAGCCCCTGAGATCGACGAAAGAGGCGCAGAGGCCTCTGTCCTCGAGAACACTAAGGAGCCAGAGCCCGGCCAGCGGCCCCTGGAGGTGGGCAACGGCCTAGGAGAGGGCCAGGGCCCCTCCTCACACCCGCTCGGCTTCCACTTTCCTGTGCATCCCAAGTCCTGGCTCCGACCCGACGGCTTCCCAATCTTGGGCCTCCCTGAGTTCGGAGAGCGTCTGCCAGCCGACGGGCGCCCCGTGCTGGGTCCCCTGGGGGGCCCACTGGCCCTGGTGGAGGGCGCGGGGCTGGCGTGTGGCCCTTTCAGCGGTGGCGGAGGCAGCGCCGGTGCCGCGGGCGGCGGCCTGCGCGCGTTCGGGCCAGCCGTCGGGGGGCTGCTGGCCGAGCCGGCGCCCGCCGCGCTGGCCGAGGAGGAGAGCCCGTGGATCTGCTCGGACTGCGGCAAGACATTCGGCCGCCGCGCCGCGCTGGCCAAGCACCAGCGCTACCACGCGGGCGAGCGGCCGCACCGCTGCGCCGACTGCGGCAAGAGCTTCGTGTATGGCTCGCACCTGGCGCGCCACCGGCGCACGCACACGGGCGAGCGGCCCTTCCCGTGCCCGGAGTGCGGTGCGCGCTTCGCCCGCGGCTCGCACCTGGCGGCGCACGTGCGCGGCCACACCGGCGAGAAGCCTTTTGTGTGCGGCGTGTGCGGCGCGGGCTTCAGCCGCCGCGCGCACCTGACGGCGCACGGGCGCGCGCACACGGGCGAGCGGCCCTACGCGTGCGGCGAGTGCGGCCGCCGCTTCGGGCAGAGCGCGGCTCTGACGCGGCACCAGTGGGCGCACGCGGAGGAGAAGCCGCACCGCTGCCCCGACTGCGGCAAAGGCTTCGGCCACAGCTCGGACTTCAAGCGGCATCGGCGCACGCACACAGGCGAGAAGCCCTTCCGCTGCGCCGACTGCGGCCGCGGCTTTGCGCAGCGCTCCAACCTGGCCAAGCACCGGCGCGGGCACACGGGGGAGCGGCCCTTCCCGTGCCCCGAGTGCGGCAAGCGCTTCTCGCAGCGCTCGGTGCTCGTGACGCACCAGCGCACGCACACGGGGGAGCGGCCCTACGCCTGCGCCAACTGCGGCCGCCGCTTCTCACAGAGCTCGCACCTGCTCACGCACATGAAGACGCATCGAGGCCCGGCTGCGCCCGGCGCGGCGCCGGCAGCCCCTTCGCCCAAGACCCCAGCGCCCAAGGGACCGGCGAGCGCGAGTCCTGGCCGGGGCCTGGGCGGCAGCGCCCTGCTGGAGTTCGCGGGAGGGACAAGCTTCGGCTCGGAGCCCGCGGCATTCGCGGGGCCCTCGGGCACCTACGTTGGGAGCCCCGGGAAGGAAAGCGTCCCGTGAGGCGCCGCGGCCCGCGCGCAGCCCGCCCCGCCCCGCCCCGCCGAGGGGCGCCACCCATGGCCCCGGCTTCCCTCTCTCCCGCCTGAAGAACGAGGTCTAGTGAGGAAGCAAGGGGAGCGGTGGGGCAGCCCCTAGAACAGACGGCGACCCCCACCCCACCCCACCCCGGCGGCGGGCCAGGCTATTTATTGTGCCCGGATTCCCACATGCGCTGCTGCTGGTCGCCGATGGTGTTCAGGGCGGGAAGTTGAGGAAGAGCGCGGGTTAGCGCCCGTGGGGAGACCCTGGTAGGTGTTGGCCTCTTCCCCCCTTCCTCAGCGGGAGCTCAGGGCCCAGAAAGCCTTGGGAACGCCAGGCCAGGCCTTGATGGCAAGGACCGCTTTGGTCTCAGCTCTCTCCACCCATCCCTTGGCCCCGGTGGCCAGAGGTGGTGGCATTTGGACGTCCTTGGGGTGCCCTCTGGGTTCCCACAGACCCGGGCCCCATCGTCGTTCCCTGGACTGTCCCCTCCTGCAGCAGGCAGACACCCGGGGCCCTGCACCTCGGAGCCCAGGGCTCTTTTAGCTTTTATTGCCCAGTGCGGGTCCAAGGATCTCCCCTTCTGTCCACCTGGTGCCAGGGCCCCCGCAACCTCCTAAGGCCCTTTTAGCTGCTTCTGTCGTCGTCCACACTACATTCCTGCCCCACTGGGGGCCGAGAGGTGGCAGGCCACACCTGAAGGGAGTGGGCCCGAACCCCTGGCGCAGTGACACCAAGCAACCAGCTATGCAAGCTCTGGCCTGGTGGACGGCAGTCGCCGCGGGCTCAGGGCTCAGGAGCGGTCACCTCGCATTATACTGTTTGGGCCAGAGAAGTGAGGTTTTGAAGCACTGCATTCCCTTTTAGAGCTAGTTCCTTCTGTGTTAGTGTAGACACGGCCGCAGGGGTGAGAGCCAGCGGCCAGGCTGCTAGGTGCTGGTTGGGTTGGTGTGGTAGTGGCGGGTGGTGGGTTGGGAGGAGAGCGGGGGTCTCAGGGAGGCCCGAGTGCTGGGTCATGGCCTCTCTGCCCCGGGCCTTTTCCTTCCCATGTCTTCTGGGACACGAGCCTCAGAAGGAGCCAAAGCAGGGTGGGCCGGAGGGCAGCCCCGCCCCATCCCTCGGGCCTGGCTACTTCAGCTCTGCCCAGCAGCGGTCGGCAGGACCTAGCTTTAATAAAGATGGCGAAACGAGCTTTCCGACTGGACTCAGTGCTGTTGCGGCCCCTTGAACTGATCAGAGGCTCCGTGTGGTCTGGAGCCCACCTTGTTTCTGCAAAGGGTTTGTAGTTTTCTTATAAGAATCTAGATTTGGTCCCAGAATGGCTCCTAGAAGTCAGTTCCAGGAGGACCACAGGACTCTGTGGTCTTGTGGGCACACCCCCTTCGGACACACGTGTGTAGTAAGTACATACTGCCCTGAGATACCACGGGGTGGGGGTAGGCAGAGATTTTTATTTTTTAAGGAGCTGTACAAAGGGATTACAATTTCCTAAATCAAGTTATGAGTTCAGTGCTTCTTGGGCAAAGTCACACCTTCCTTTGCTTTTGGGGGGGCCAACCTGCTGGTGGTCAGAGGGGCAAGGGGCCTCCCTACCTGGTGATCTAGATATGCCCAGGCCTTTCCTTTGTGGTCTGAACACCATGTGAGTTTATTTTGGCAGACCTGCCTGCTCCAATGCCACATCCAGCTCCTTACCTAGAGCACTAAACGCCTGCTTGTAAACTCATGCATTTTCATTTATATCCCAGGAATCAGCTCTGACTCTCATTCTTTTCCTATGGAGGAAATAGGGAATTATGAACCAGATGTCCTTCACAAATGTGACGAGGGGGTGGAGAGTGGGGTGAACAGCACGCGGCAGCCTAATGTTTCATTTAAACTGCAGGTGGGCTTTTAAGGTGAATATTGTGTAGTTGAATACTGTGACCTAGTTAAAGTGGGTGATGTTGGGGGTTCACTAAAAAAAATTATGAGAGCTGAAAGATTCCCTGACAGGGAATTCCCTGATTAAACAGCTAACAGCGAAAGTCATTTCATTTTTTCCTTCCCTTCCTCCCCCTCCTCCTGCCTCTTCTTTCCTCTCCCTTCCTCTTCTTTTCTCCCCTCCCCCTCCTCTTTTTTCCTTCTTGTCCTGGGGCTTGAAACCAGGGTCTGGGCACTGGCCCTGAGCCTCTTTGTGCTCAAAACTGGTGCTCTACTACTTTGAGCCACTGTGCTACTTCTGGCTTTTTGTGAGTAGTTTATTGGAGATAGGTCTCACAGACTTCCTGCCTGGGCTGGCTTTGAACCGTGATCCTCAGGTCTTAGCCTCCTGAGTAGCTAGGATTACAGGCCGAGTCACTGATGCCTGGCTTGCATATTTTTGGTTGTATGGGAGACCCCATCTCAATCCAGAAGCAAACAGACACTCTTCGTTACCCAGGAGTGGAACCAGTGAGCTCCTGGAGTCACTAGGCCTGAGCGCCCCATATTCCCCTCCTTTTCCTTTTTCCCTCCTGTCTCCCCAACTTGTTCCCATTCCTTCTCCTTACATTTTTACTTTTTCTCTTCAAATATTTCCTTTTTGTTTTCTCCAGTGGGCCTTCTATGGAATCACTTTGAACATTTTGGTCACTAATAAAGCTTATGGTCATTGTTCATAACTAATTTTTTTCCAGATTATAAAATGCATGTGGGTTGTAAAAATCCCAATGGGTCAAACTCCTTGTTCATCTCCTAACAGGCATCCAGCAGCCAGGCATATGGACCACACTTCTGTGGATGGGGAAATGGCTTAAACGTGGGAACACTTTTTACTTGTTACCTGGCCACTTGCTCTGTCCACTTAAAAACAATGAACATTGTTTCTTTTTGTTGATACTTGGATTTGAATTCTGAGCCCAACACTTGCTAGGTGCTTTATTTTTTGAGTCACATCTGCAGCCCTCTCCCACCCTTTTTTTTTTGGGGGGGGGGGGCGCTATATTTTACAGAGCTAATTGTATCTCTGTAGCTAGATTACAGGTATGGGCCATCAACCTGGTTGTGGACATTCTGATAGCTACCTCATTCATTTTAACCTGTCATGGTATTCTATCCTCAGAGATGGAGGGCAATTTACATAATCACTTCTCAGTGGTATTTGGTTGCTCCCATTTTGAAGAGCAAGTCTGTCTTCATTCTGCTTTTCAGAACCTTGATTTTTTCTACATTAATTCTTAGATATGGCCAACAGAATGGACTTATTAGGCCCTCCTTTCCAATCCCTTTCTGGGGATCGGGAATAAATTTATAGTCTCAATGAACTATCCACTGAGGAGGTCCACTCTTACTAGGGTGTGAAATCAGGCACTCTCCCACATGAGCCTCACCCCTAGTCCTTTTTGCTTTAGTATTTTTCAGATAGGGTCTAGCAGTGTAAAAAAGCATTGTAAACCAAAGCTTATTAAGGTATGGTGGTCATTCACCATACCTCAATTCACCAACATACCAGAGGAGCTGTGCAGGAGGGTATGCAGGAAGGGGGAGGCCCAGAGGCCATCCGTGGATTGGTGAGAGGACACTGGAATTCATGGAAATGGTTTCATCTAAATGCCCCATGGGCTAGATCAGAAAGCTCAGGTTCAGTGAAAGTCCCCATAGAGAGCCTTAGTGTGTCTCTTAATGACATCTACCACAGTATTTGTTTGGTGTCTAGTTTTGTTTTTTCTTGTTGGTTGTGGGGCTTGAACCCAGAGCCTAGACACTGTTCCTGAGCTTTTTCGCTCAAGGCACTCTACCACTTTGAGCCATAGCACCACTTCCTTGGTGTCTAGTTTCTTAAGTTCAAAATATGGCTTTGGGGCTGTTAAATATCCAATTCCAACTCATTAATCTGGTTTTCATCTTCTTGACAGATATATACAGGTAAACCCCTACAATTCCTCCCCCTGGGCCTTGGAGCATAGGTTCATGCTCTTGGCTGCCACTCTGGATGGGGGGCTATCTGTGGTAGGTGGGGAGTTTGACAGCCATGGCACTGTGTGGCTGAGGAGCTGCTGCTACAACCCTAACCCTAGGTTCCCTTCCTCACCAAGCCTTCTCCTGGTGGCCTGGCTTAGGCTCAGTTCTGTTGGGAATTTCCTTCCCTGCCATCCATAGTAGGTTACCTCCCATCAGTTCCAGAGCAACCTCATTTAGGACTATCAAAGCAGAGTTTGGCCCACTCGAGTTTTGGCTTAGGGATAATCTGATTTTGCAAAATGTTCTATTTTGTGTGAAATAATACTTAAAACCAATAATACTTAAAACCAAGATCAGGGGCTGGGAATATGGCTTAGTGGTAGAATGCTTGCAAAGCATGCATGAAGTTCAATTCCTCAGTATCACATAAACAGAAAAAGTTACAAGTGGCACAGTGGCTCAAATGGTTGAGCACTAGCCTTAGCATAGAGAGGCTCAGGGACAGAGTCCATACCTTGAGTTCAAGCCCTAGGATCAACAAAAAACAAAACAACAAAAAACTGCAAATGTAATTTAACCATGCTGGTTTTTTTTTGGGGGGGAGGGGAAGGATTAGTTATGGAGCTTGAACTCAGGACCTTGGTACTGCCCTTGAGCTTTCTGCACAAGGCTAATGCTCTACCAGTTTGAGCCACAGTGCCACTTCCAGTTTTCTGGTGGTTAAGAGTCTTATGCACTTTTCTGCCTAGACTGGCTTTGAACCATGACCCTCAGATCTCAGCCTCCTGAAGCAGATAGGATTACAGGTGTGAGCCTCCAGTGCCTGGCCAATTTATGGTTTTTACACATGAAAAAGGTAGTACTTCAGCTCAGGGCATAAAATTAGATACAGGGAATTGGACTAATCAGTTGAAAGCAAACAAAATTAGACCCTTAACACACACACACACCACACACACACACACACACCACACACACACACACCACACACACACCACACACACACACCACACACACACACACCACACACACACACACACCACACACACACACACACCACACACACACACCACACACACACACCACACACACACACACCACACACACACACCACACATCACACACAACCACACACACACACACCACACACACACACCACACACACACACACCACACACACACACATACCACACACACACAATTTCTAGTAACGATCCATGTTATATGTTAGAAAAATTGCTGTTAGGTTCCAAAATTTAATTTTGTGGGTCAAGGACAGGACAGTTTAAGAGAGCATACACATTTAATTGTTTCAAGTTGATTTACAATGTTAAGGCTATTTACATAAAGCATTTACAGAAAATAATATAAATCTGTCTCCACCCTTCAAAATAAGTGATTTGCCTAAAGTCCATTTCTGAATTTCATAACTTCTACAAAAGTATAACTCTGTCAGAATGTCTTTATCACAAAAAGAACATTCTAAGTCAACTGGCTTAAAAACAAATTGTGTCTCAAAATGGAAACAGTGGAGACCTTGAAGTGACAAGACTGACTGGTTCAGTGGCATCTGGATACCACCTTCTTCCAGCCTTTCTGTGCAGGCCATGATCTGTGTATAATCCATTGCTGAGAGGCTTTGCCATGAACGATGTCTGTACAAGATAATGCTCACCAAAGACCCCACTTCACTTTGAGTCCAAGGATCACTGAAACCTTTCCCAGAAACAACCTGTGAGCTGTCTTGTCCCTTTTGTCTGTGTGGACATGGGTCCTGTAAACTGCCCATTAGCAGTGAGAAAGGACTTTCCCTCCTGGCTGGAACTCAGCAGCACTGACCTCATGCCCTGTGAGGAGGATGGATGCCCACAGTGACCTGGGGAGGCACCCACAGTGCCTGAAAGTGTTCTCCATTCCTTCAGCAATGGGGGGAGCAGGTGCACAGAGCTGAGCACATTCATAAACACTAATGACTCAAGTCAGAAGACAGCACTTCCTCTAAACACATTTATGAAAGCATCCAGAACAAGCAGTGAACACGGGATGAGAACACAGGAATGAGGACATTGTGAAGTGCATGTTTTAGCTGTAGAGTGCAGTAAGTACTAAAGCTATTTCTTGATCCTGGAGACTTCTGGCTTAATTAAAACAAAGTTTTTGTAGCATTTATTATCTATTTTACACATGTATCTTTATCTCCTTTGCAGACCCATTTATACTTGAAAATATAAACATTGTCTTCTTAGTGGAGGATAATAGTTCATTATCAATAACAAATGCACTTAATAAATCAGGGGAGTAATACAAGGAAAGTGTATCTAACCAAGTATTTGTGGCAGTTCATATTAAAATGTTAACAAGGTGCTACTTAGAATGGGTGCTCTTACCACATATGTTACAAACTAACCGAACATGTAATTCCTATAATGTAACATGCTAAAAACCAAACAAAACCTTAACTATTATATTCCTTGGGAACAGTTTATTATGAGTTCAATGTAGGCATGGTTATCCTGATGAGTTTATATCTATTTCTACAGCGTATGTTTCTTCTTCCTTTTTTCACTTTTCTTTTACAAAAAGTGTTGTATCAGAAACATGTCCTTTAATAGTAACAACATTCAAAGGAGTCTATTTCCTATACTGCTCCAATTCAAAGAACTCCCTGATAAAGCAGTCTGAATCCATGGTGAAATATATATATATATATATATATATATATATATATATACGTATATATATATATACATGCTATTTGTGCATTTTCTCCCATGTAGCCTGGCATCTAGTGAGACATGTGCATGTGGCCATGTTACAGTTGTGCAGGGCTTGGCCACATTCACCTGTGTGAGTTTGCAGATACAGATGTCCCCTAATATATGGGAGCCAGTTATGATTCTAGAACCTGGCTAGATGCTCAAATCATTACATAAATTGATGCAGTCGACATATCCTCTCACATACTGTAGTTTTGGGGCAGTACTTCAGTTTGAACTCCATGCCTTGTGCTTGCAAGACAAGCAATGAGTTGGGCCTCAAGCCTTTCTAGTTTTAGTTAAAAAACATTTTTTTTGTCAGTCATGGGGCTTGAACTCTGGGCCTAGGCGCTGTCGCACTCTTCAGCTCAAGGTGAGCACTCTACTGCTTGAGCCACAGCGCCACTTCCAGTTTTCTAGTGGTTTATTGGAGATAAGAGTCTCATGGACTTTCCTGCCCAGACTGGCTTTGAAACATTATCCTCGGATCTCAGCCTCCTGAGTAGTTAGGATTATAGGCGTGAGCCACCGGTGCCCAGCGTTTTAGTTAAAATTTTAAACAAGGTTTTCATTTTTGCTTAAGTCAGCCTGGAATTCAATACTCCTACTTAATGTTTCATGTGTAGTTAGGATAGCAGGTATGTACCACCAACCCAGGGTTTTTGTTGAGATGGGATATCCTACTAACTTACTGCTGGCCCTGAACCTTGATCTTTCCAGTCTCTAGTTTAAAAGTATCTGGGATTACAGGTATGAAGCACTGCACTTGGCCCTTTTGTGTACTTTTCAATGCTCTCTCAATTAAGTAAGATTACTTACCTAATACAATAAAATGCTATATAAATAGCTACTATAGTGCATTTAGAGTATAATGACAAGAAACATTTGTAATGTTTGGTACAAATGTAAATTTCCCCCAAGTACTTTTACTGTGTTTAATCTGTGGATTGGAAGGCCATGGATACAGACAGCTATCTGTACAACAGTGTCTGATTGCAGGCAGGAGTGTCTAGGGTCACCACACTAAAACTTTGGGCTGAGGTCTGACTTCAGAGAAGCCTTCCCACATCCACTACATCCACATTCCCTCTCCTGTGAATCCTTTGATGGCTATTGAAGGCTGACTTGTGGTAGAACTTTTTCCCACATTCCATGCATTCATAGGGCTTCTCACCCGAGTGGGTTCTATAGTGCACAGTGAGGTAAGACATCCGTGAGAAGGCTTTCCCACATTCATTACATTCAAAGGGCTTCTCTCCTGAGTGGATGCGGTGGTGGATGGTGAGATAGGACATCTGAGAGAAGCACTTCCCGCACTCATAGCACTCGTAGGCTTTCTCTCCGGTATGTGTCCTCTGGTGTCTGTTAAGGGCCGAGTTCTGGCAGAAGGTTTTCCCACACTCACGGCACTCATAGGGCTTCTCTCCTGAATGGATTCTGTGGTGGATGGTGAGGTAGGACATCTGAGAGAAGAACTTGCCGCATATGTAGCACTCGTAGGGCTTCTCCCCACGGTGAATCCGGCGGTGTCTGCAGAGGGCTGAGTTCTGGTAGAAGGTTTTCCCGCACTCGCTGCACTCATACGGCTTCACCCCTGAGTGAGTCCTGTGATGGATGGTGAGGTAGGACAACTGGGAAAATAACTTCCCGCACTCGTTGCATTCGTACGGCTTCTCCCCAGTGTGTACCCTCTGGTGTCTCATGAGGGCTGAGTTCAGGTAGAAGGTTTTCCCACAGTCCGCACACTCATACGGCTTCTCTCCCGAGTGGGTTCTGTAGTGCACAGTGAGGTATGACAGCCGGGAGAAGAACTTCCCACATTCATTGCACTCATAGGGCTTCTCGCCCGTGTGTGTCCTCAGGTGGGTCGTGAGAGTGGACTTGCGGCAGAAGCATTTCCCACACTCGCTGCACTTGTAGAGTTTCACGCCAGTGTGAATTTTCTGATGGTCATTAAGGGCTGACTTCTGGGAGAAAGTCTTTCCACAGTCGTGACACACATAAGGCCGCTCTCCCGAGTGCGTCCTCTGGTGTTGGGTGAGGTGTGTCTTCTGGCAGAAGGACTTCCCGCAGTAGCTGCACTCATACGGCTTTTCTCCTGAGTGCGTGCGCTGGTGCTGGATGAGGTGCAACTTCTGGTAGAAGTTCTTTCCGCACTCGGTGCATTCGTAGGGCTTCTCCCCTGTATGAGTTCTCTGGTGGACAGTGAGGGTCCCCTTCTGGCAGAAGGATTTCCCACACTGGTTACATTTGTAAGGTTTCTCTCCTGTGTGAGTCCTCTGATGGATGATAAATTTTGACTTTTTACAGAAGGATTTCCCACATTCACGGCATTCATAGGGTTTCATTTCCATGTGTGGTCTCTGATGGACATTGAGGTCTGACATCTGGAGAAAGGCCATTTCCGATGCATTCCAGTTATAGGACTTTTCGTCCACATGATTAAAAACTGAGTCCTTCGGGAAGGCTTTCTGGCAGTCAATGTATTCAAAGGGTTTCTCTAAAATATGAATTTTCTGATAAAAATTCTCTTCATTCAGTGTGTAAGCGTCTCCATTTTGATGATCTGAATTACCTCCAGGATGGGCTTTCTGAGGCTTCATGTGGAGGAGCGACTTCCCACACCCACTGCACTCGCTGGGTTTCATGCTTGCATAGCTTCCATCACTGCTAATGTATTCTGGAACACAGGCCAAACTCTTTTCACACAAGTCACACTTAGAGGCTATTCTCCAAGGAACAAGGTTCTTCTCTACACTGAAACCTTTCCCTGAAACACTGCTTCCCTCTCCCACCAAGCTTTTGTTCTTGTAGAACACAGGTGGCCTTGAATGTTTAGCTTCACCTTCCCATGCTCTGTTCATTAGGTTGTCCTCTCGCCAGACCTCATCTAAAAAGAGGCAAAATGAACCAACTTTTGTACAACTTCCTACACAAGACATACTGAGACTGGAACATAGCATTTCATCTAGAGGTAAGCCCTGGACTCCGTTTCCAAGTGCTTCCTCTTACTCTTTTGTTTGGAATAGCAGACACACTCCAACAAGGGGGAGAGGAAGTAAACTGACAAAAACACAGCATCTATGATGATGGTTACTCTGTGTTCTTTTGTTTACAACAGGGCATGAGGTAAAATCCAGAGCAGGGACTGGCAGACAAGGATTTGGATGGAAGAATGAGAGCGTTATGAATGGACTCACACGCAGGAGAATGGACAGGACAGGAGCCCTGCTGCACAAGGAGGGGAACAGGACTATGCACCTGGTAATGGATGAGCGCCTTCCTTTCTACTACTTCACATCATGGTGGAGGGAGGGATCAAACTTGAGGCCTCATCATCTATACTTACAATTTTTTTTTTTGGGGGTCCGGTCATGGGGCCTGAACTCTGGGCCTGGGCGCTGTCCCTCAGCTCTTCAGCTCAAGGCTAGCACTCTACCACTTGAGCCACAGCGCCACTTCCAGCTTTTTTCTTTTTTCTTATGTGGTGCTGAGGAATCGAACCCAGGCCCTCATGCATGCAAGGCAAGCACTCTACCACTGAGCCACCTTCCCAGCCCCTATACTTACAATTTTTGTGGCAGCACTTTCACTATTCTACATTCAGCCACCCAATTTTGCTTTTTTCTCAATTCACACAGTACTGCCAAATATATTCATACTTAAATTTCCTCCTCTTTTTTTTTTTTTAAACTGAAAGTGGGAGCTGGGGGAAAGTGACTCAGGCCTAGCTACTAAAGAGGCCATGATGTGAGGAATGTGGCTTAAAGGCAGTCCAGGAAGACAAATCTGTGAGACCCTTATCTCAATCACCAAAAAGCCAGAACTGGAGGCAGTGTTCAAGTGGTAGCGTGCTAGCTGTGAGTGAAAAAGCTGAGCAAGAGTGAGAGGCCCTGAGTTCAAGCTCCAGGATTGGCACAAAATAAAAAAACAGCAAACTGGAAATGGGACTCTCCCTTACTCTGCTTCACTTGGAAGGAGAGTTCTGGAACATCCAAAGGGGTATAAAAGGGTCGGTCCTAAGTTATTCTAGTAATGGTGTGATTTAAGCTTGGACTCATCTGACAAATTCCTTTTGTTTCCTACTTGTACAATGTTGCATGAGCTCTGGTGAGACTGCTCAGGGAAAGTAGTGATGACTGGAGATGACAGCCCCCACCTCACAGGGCTGTTGTGGGATAAGGGATTTGGCAAGATGCTCAGAACAGCACTTGACACAAAGCACATGCCCTATTACTCAGCAGTTACTTTTCTCATTTTCAATCTCCTGACAATTTTGTTAAGTCACTTCTACCTTATGACCCCATTTAAGACCGAGTAGTGGAAAGCAGGACAAAACTCTATTATAAACACATGAACTCTAGAAACATGTTTTTATGGGGAAAGAAGACGTTTTTAGAGAAGGTACCTACAGCAGAAGAGTAACTACCTTCAATCACTTCTAAAGGTTTGGGGCCATGAGAAAGTTCCTGAAACACTCCCCAATCATCTCCTCTCTGCCTCCACTAACATACCTGGGTAGCTCTGAGGCAGGAATGCTCCTTCTACTATCCATGGCTCTTCTCCTTGCTCCAACTTAGTGATAACATCCGGTTTGATAATGTGATATCCTGTTATGAGAGATGAAAGAGAACCTGAGACCAGACTCATGGTAGCTGCACAGCTGAAGTGCCCCAGTGCTTCATAAAAATCAGAACCTTTCACAGGGAAGTCAAGACCAAAATGCCCCAAACAGACCAAAGTTGTTTAAGGTCAAACCCTTAAAGTTAGAGGAATTTCATGATGCATTTTAGCAGCTGAGAAAGCAAGCTGCCTTACCTAGGGAGACGAGGTGGCTGTAGTTCTCCAGCATCACATCCCTGTATGTTGTCTTCTCATCAGCACCCAGCTGCTGCCACTCCTCCTGGGTGAAGCCCACAGCCACATCATTGAAAGACAACGGCTCCTGAAATGATCACAGTGGGGTGACACGGGGACAAGATCTTTCCATGATCATAGGCCCATAGCATGGATGCTTGGAAACAGCCTTCTTATGAATGTTCCAAACTCAGTTTTTATGTAGTTATGGCCCCCCCTCTTTTTTTGGGGGGTGGGAGGGGGTCCAGTCGTGGGGCCTGAACTCTGGGCCTACGTGCTGTCCCTCAGCTCTTCAGCTCAAGGCTAGCGCTCTACCACTTGAGCCACAGCGCCACTTCCGGCTTTTTTCTTTTTTCTTATGTGGTGCTGAGGAATCAAACCCAGGGCCTTGAGCATGCAGGGCAAGCGCTCTACCACTGAGCCACCTTCCCAGCCCCCCTCTCTCTCTTTTTAAAAATGTTAACTTGAAAGCCAGGCACCGGTGGCTCGCGCCTGTAATCCTAGCTACTCAGGAGGCTGAGATCTGAGGATAGTGGTTCAGAGCCACCTGGGCAAGGAAAGTCCAAGAGACTCTTATCTCCAATTAACTACCAGAAAACTGGAAGTGGCACTGTGGCTGAAGTGGTAGAGATCTCGCCTTGAACTGAAGAGCTCAGGGAAAACGCCCAGGCCCAGAATTCAAGTCCTACAACCACCACCACCACCACCAAAACGTGTGTGTGTGTGTGTGGTGTGTGTGTGTGTGTTTACTTTCCTGCCCAGGCTGGCTTTGAACTGCGATCCTCAGATCTCAGCCTCCTGAGTAAGATTACAGGTGTGAGGCATCAGAGCCCAGCTAACTTTATTGTTATTAAGGTACTGTACCAGAGGGTTTACTATTGCTTAAGTCAGGTAAGTACATTTCTTTTTGGACAATGTTACCCCTTCTCCCAGTTTCCTCCCTATCACTGCCTACAAGTTACATAACTCACTTCCCATACATTGTATAACAAATAGGGTGACTGCATTTATTTACTCTTCTACCCTCCCTTTCTGTGCACCCTTTTAAAGAAAAAAAAAAAACCCAAAACAAAAACAAACACCACCACCATCTCTCTCTCTCTCTTTTTCTTTTTTGTTGGTCTTGGGGCTTGAACTCTGGGCCTGAGCTCTGTCCCTCAGCTCTTCAGCTCAAGGCAAGTGCTCTACCACTTGAGCTACATTGTCATTTCTGGTTTTCTAGTGGTTTATTAGAGATAAGAGTTTCATGGACTTTCCTGCCCGGGCTGGCTTTGAACTGAGATCCTTAGATCTCAGCCTCCTGAGTGGCTAGGATTACAGGCGTGAGCCACTGGAACCTGGCTACCATCTCTTTTTTTTTTTTTTTTTGGGTCCGGTCGTGGGGCCTGAACTCTGGGCCTAGGCACTGTCCTTCAGCTCTTCAGCTCAAGGCTAGCGCTCTACCACTTGAGTCACAGCGCCACTTCCGGGTTTTTTCTTTTTGCTTATGTGGTGCTGAGGAATCGAACCCAGGGCTTCAGGCATGCAAGGCAAGCGCTCTACCACTGAGCCAACTTCCCAGCCCCCATCTCTTTTTTTGACAGGGTTTTGCTAATCACCCAGCACTCAGGCTGGCCTGTAATTTGCTTTGCATCACAGGCAGGGTCTGAACTGCATGGCATCACATAACAGGGAAAGCTTCCTGAGGCCAAGGGACAGCAGACAGCAGTCCTCCAGTGGGAGCCCTCCTGTTAAGCAAGAAAGAGACAGCTGCTCTCAGACACGCAGACTCCAGAGCATCAGCCAGGCCTGTCCAAGGACTCCAGGGATAAGAGCGGATAACAGACCACAGACACTGACTTCCTCCCTCTCTACCACTGGTATGGCCCCTCTAAGAAACTGTACTCAATTACAGATGGAGACCATGTTCTGGCTCTTGATGCCATCATGCCAGCTTTCTCACTGTGAGGAACTAAAAATATGAAAAGATGAAGTGATTTTATGTTAGTACTAGAAAATGAAAGATGAAAAAAATGCTTCCTATCAAAAGATTTTGAGTACTTACAAGCCAACAAGAAAAACAACAAAACAACACCCTAAGAGAAATGGACATGGATATGAAGAGGTACTTCATATAAATAGGCCGTGTGCTTCAGACTGCTATGAATATAAAGAACATCAGACACTTGTATTCTGGCTTCAAGGACTCTAAGGATCATGCTATCTGCAGGAATTAATAAGAAAAAAATGCCTGATGCTGATTGTGGCTCCATTTCATCTGACTATACCTTTTTTTTTTTTAAATCTATTTCTACTTTCCAATTTATAAGAGGTGAAACATAAGAACAGAAAAACTCACCAGGGATGTATTCATTTTCTGCTGCTCTTGTACAAATCTGGAAAACTACGGAAGCAGGGGCAGACCTGAAGAAGAGAAATGAAAGTATTGTTACTATGACAAACCAAGCAGGAATCTCAAGAACATACCCAGAAAGTTTCAAGACAGAAACCTTATGGGACACTGTCACTTCAGGTGCTCAGGAGGACTTGGGGAATGATCAGGAATCTTTCTAACCCACACAGTTACTGGAGAAAAGTACAATTCTTACTGTGAATGAAGATAGTCTACCACTGTTAAGTGTAAGAAAGGAATTCTTAAACAGCACTCCTCGTGCATGTGTGTGTGCATGTGTGTGTGTCTATACTAGGGCTTTTCCCCTCAAGGCATGAGCTATTGGTGCCTAGCCTCATTTGTTTTCTAGTTGTTTTTACCTAGTTAAAATCAGAAATTCCATTGGATATTAGGATAAAAGGAAGTCAGCATGGCTAAAGCTCCATTTGTAAAAGCCAAAGTGATAATGTCCAAAAGGACATTTTATTAGGACACTTAATGTGTGAACTAATAGTTCCAGGAATCCTATAACCACACCTACCAACAAACCCCCTGGCCTTGGTCAACTCACCCACCCCTTCCTGCACCAATGCAGGCAACACAATAGAGTCTTCCTGTCCTGCACTGTGGTTCTAGGACTAAGAGCAGAGCCGGGGGTGGGGGTACCAGCAGACAGAACCGAGGCGCTGAGGGTCATCTGCAGACCCCAGAGGAACTGTAGCGAGAGCCACAAGAAGGGGCGTCAGGGAGAGGAGGGAAGAGTGGAACCCGGTCCGGTCAGACCCCCACAGGGCCGGTCAGGCCCGCGCAGCCGCTCCGCCTTCACCCCACCTGCCTTCTGGGGACGCGGGCCGCCCCCTCCCCGCACCTGTGTGCTGGCCGGGCGCTAGCTGCACGCAGGTCCGGCTCATCCCGTCCTCGGGGCTACGACTTCCCGCCCTTGCTGGGGCTCCCGAGGGTCTGGGCCTGGGGGACGAGATCGAGGCGGGCGTCCCTCCCCGGGTCTGGCCTGAGTCCCTGGGGACTCACCGACCCGCAGCGACGCCGCGACCGCCCCGGGCTCTGCTGCTCGCTGTCCCCGCCGCCACTGACGGCCGGGCCCCTCGGGCCTCGGCCGCGGGAACGGAGACCGCGCTCCCGGCTCGAGCCTCCGCCGGGCTGGCCGGCCTTCGTCCGTGCGGTCGCGCTCGCCTGGTGCCGGTTCAGCCGCTCGGCCCTCAGCCCCGCAGTGTCCGCGAAGCTCGCCCACTGGAGGCCAGAGTCCGGGAGTGAGGGCTGGGGTAACTGCGAACCCACAGGAAACCAGGGTAGAGCGAGGTTGGCGGCGGCGCGCATGCGTGGACACGCACGCAGGGCAAAACGCGCATGCGTAGCATCACACCGGAAGTTGGCGTCCCAGAGCTTCTTGCCAGAGTCAGGATAGGTACGGGGACTCTATTTCCCAAAAGTCTACGCGACACCAAGCTTAGGAACCGTCTCACAAGTCCCCACCTGGTCTCCGCTGCACGGAGGCGTCATGCCAAGGGCACTGTCCTCATTTCCTGGAGTGCCAAGAAACGGGCCTCCCGATTGCATCTAGGTTCCCTAAGTCCTCTTCCTTGCTTGAGACCCTACGGCTAGAACCGAGGTTGGGTCAGACCTAAGGAAAGGAAAGGGTGTGCCCAGCTCACTGAACTAAAGTGCTCCAAGTTTTACTCAAAAACGAGGGTGTAAAAAACCAAAAACCAAAACCATAAAGCGAGGGTGCAGCAAAAGTCCTTCAATGTTTTCCAAGGAAGGGCTGGGAAAGTGGCTCAGTGGTAGAGCGCTTGCCTTGCATGCCTGAGGCCCTGGGTTCGATTCCTCAGCACCACATAAACAGAAAAAGCCGGAAGTGGTGCTGTGGCTCAAGTGATAGAGCACTAGCCTTGAGCTGAAGAGCTGAGGGACAGCACCCAGGCCCAGAGTTCAGGCCCCACGACCAGACCCCCCCCCAAAAAAATAAATAAATAAAAAATGTTTTCTAAGGAAGGAAAAGAAAGTAGATGTGGTAGCCTTTCTAGATCACACCACTAAATGCACTCAAACTATAAAGACAACCAGAAAGTAGAAGCCCAAAGAACAACACAGACCAAAGAACAACACAGATACCTGTGATATTACCTCTCAAAGAAGATGATGTTTGAGGTTGGAAAAAGATGCTGATTTTCAAAAAATAGGACAATGACATCTCTATTTGGGGCTGAAATAGCTACAAGTATTCCTGTTCACTTATTTATTAAAAACTGACAAGGGTACACATTAAGAGGTCTTTCGCATGAATACAAGAAAATAAGAGGGGCTGGGAAGGTGGCTCAGTGGTAGAGCGCTTGCCTTGCATGCATGAGGCCCTGGGTTCAATTCCTCAGCACCACATAAGCAGAAAAAGTGGCGCTGTGGCTCAAGTGATAGAGCGCCTTGAGCTGAAGAGCTGAAGGACAGCGCCCAGGCCCAGAGTTCAGGCCCCACGACCGGACCCAAAAAAATAATAAATACATAAAAAGTTGCATCTTCAAAGAAGCACTGAGCCACACCGCAATGTCCAGACAGGCGAACCACAGCGGAGACACACCCAGGTGAAGTAAGGAGGGAAGGTCTGACGGGCGCCATAGTGGCCACATGGTGGAAGGTAGTGGTGGCCACATGGTGTGGATGGTAGTGGTGGCCACACGGTGTGGAAGGTAGGGTCTGGCATCTTGTCTTCATACTTGGGGAGGGAAATGTCCCGCCCATCACCTGCCTCCCGAGTGATGGACGTGGCCAGATCCCTGGAGTCAGGGACGGGAACTTGGCTGATAGGCTACTGGATCTGTCAGTCAAGTGCCTGGGACTGGGAATTTCCTGTGGACCCGCCCCTTGCTCCAGCCCAGCCGCCATTACGCCATGCCACGTGATCCCGTGATCCACGTGATCTCCGTGATCCTGTCCTGTGTCTCCTGGCTCATCCCCGGTCATCATGGCGTCCTAATTTAGCTCTCATGGAGCTGAATTGGCTTGTTGGTATTGTTTTTTTTTCTTTCTTTCCTTCTGTTTCCTAGCGGTGTTATGTGTAGGGGCTGCAGGCCTTTGTAGCAACGGGCGGCCTGCAGCCTGTTAACTGTATAATAAAGACTCCAATATTCCATATTCCAAAATGTGGCTTCTGGGATGATTCACCTTACAACAGAGGGTCCCAGTATAAAGGTGAAAGGACTTGGCACAGCTGGCTCTTCATTCTCACAGATTCATCTTGAATTCATCTGGTAATTGACATGGCTGCTTGATTATTACCTTTGTCTAAAGGAAAAGTAAACCTTGTCATATCTCTGTGATGACCATAGTTACAGCTCAGACTGAGGGGCCTGGACTAAACTCACAAGAGACAAGGGGATAGGGATATTATCTATCTCCCTTGAAGTTTATATTTCAGACAAATGACTCTCCAGTGCTTGCTCCTTCCTTTCCTTCTTTCTTTCTGTCTTTCTCTGGTCCTGGGGCTTGAACTCAGGGCTTGGGCACTTTTCCTGAGCTTCTTTTGCTCAAGGCTAGCACTCTACCACTTGATACACAGCGTCACTTCCCTCTTTTCCTATGTATGTGGTACTGAGGAATCAAACCCAGGGCTTCATACATGCAAAACAGGCACTCTACCACTAAGCCACAGCCTCCTGAGGTTCTTTTGCTCAAGGTTAGTGCTCTATCACTTGAGCCATAGTGTCACTTCCAGCCTTTTCTATTTATGTAGTACTAAGGAATCGAACCTATAGCTTCATGCATGCTAAGTCAGCACTCTACCACTAAGCCACATTCCCAGCCGGATTCTCGGGGCTTTCAAAAAATATTCCTAGTTAGGTTGGAAGTGGTGTGTGTGTGTGTGTGTGTGTGTGTGTGTGTGTGTGTGTGTGTGTGTGTGTGTGTGTGTGTGTGTGTGTGTGTGTGTGTGTGTGTGTGTGTGTGTGTTCTGGTTAGTAATGATGGCAGGGAGGTTATATACTTTTTAAAAAGATTTAGACATGTAACAAAGGGTTAGAATAAATGTTACCAATCAGTTGAGCTTGACTGGTCCTACTGCTCTCCTCAAATAGAAATCCTGAGTAGGCAAGGAGAAGCTCCTCCAGAGCTGTCAGTCCTTAGCTCTTGAGAGCCCCACCCTTAGCACCTGGACTGGCAGACCCAGAGCCTCATAGTTCCAAGGCCTTAGAAGGAATGGTCTATTTTCCCAGGCTTTAGAAGCCAGTGACTTGTGGTTCTAGGCACTTTGGTGAGAGGGCTATTACTGTAAGTTTTAACCACTAGTGGCTGGCACTTGGCAGCTAGTCTACTCCCCAGCTTCTAATAGGAAGTGACAGCAGCAGGCAGACCTGTTAGTGTTCCACATCCTGAGTGGGACTAGGGTGCTAGAACCCTTGGCTCCTACAGTATCTGGTGGTACAGTTGCAGTACCTAGGGTGTCAGGACCCTTGGCTTTTTTTTTTTTTTTTTTAGTCTGGTCGTGGGGCTTAAACTCTGGGCCTGGGTGCTATCCTTCAGCGCTTCAGCTCAAGGCTGGCGCTCTACAACTTGAGCCACAGTGCCACTTCCAGCTTTTTTTATGCTTATGTGGTGCTGAGGAATCGAACCAGGGACTCATGCATGTGAGGCAAGCACTCTACTACTGAGCCACCTTCTCAGCCTGACCCTTGGCTCTTGACAGTGATTGGTGGTGAAGTTCTCAGGCCTAGGATGTCTGAGACCCTGGACCCTTAAGGCTTGACAAGTCCAAGGAAGTCTTTCAGTAACCAGGCCAGTAGGGTGGTTTGTGCTTGTAAATCAAGAAATTAACAAGATTGTGCTTCAAGTCCAGCCAAGGAAAGCATTAATGAGACCCCATTTCAAACTATCCAGAAACACACGAGACTGTAGATAGGAGGAGCTCAGTCTCCAAGCAAGTTCCAGACAAAAAGTGAAGCCTATCAAATAACTAAGGCAAAAAAGGCTGGAGGTATGTGGTTCAAGTGGTACCGTGTTAGCCTAACAAACACAAGGCTCCACATTTAACCCCCTGAACTACACCAAGAAAAAAGAAAAAGAAAAGAGTAGCAAGAAAAGACCAAGGTTGGGGGCAGGGTCTTATTGGGCCTTATGTAATACCAGGATAGCCTAGGAGTTGTCTCCTAGGAGAACTCAAAATTTGATCCCAACAACATGCTTATATAATCTGAAAAGGGGTGTGGTAAGAGTGTTTGCCAATCACAGCCAACCTCCATGTAAATGAAGGGCTGTGTTTGGACTTATCACAGGCCTTCTGCTGGGCCACCTAGAGAAGGGCTACACCAATGGACTGGGTGAAATGGTTGCTGAGGTTTGTGATACCAAAAGGTCCAAAAAACTATCTTATATAGCCATGGCTGGGCAGCACCTTCTGGAGCCAAAGTTGTGCTTCAGCAGCAAGTAGCTGGGGTTGCTGTGTGGCTTCCTCAAGGTGTCCCTGGAGTGTTCAAAGTAGCCAGGCTGTCATAAAGGCAATCCATCTGGTTTGGCAAATAGTCCTCCATTGAGGGAAGCTGAGCCCTAGCCATCTAACTTGGGGAGGATCTAACAGCTGTTAATTAGGGAGTCAAATAATTACAGTTTGCAACAGCTTAGTTTATTTAAAGCAAAAAAAAAATTAAAAGGATGTTTACAAAAAAAAGACTGGTGGGGCTGGGAAGGTGGCTCAGTGGTAGAGCGCTTGCCTTGCATGCCTGAGGCCCTGGGTTCGATTCCTCAGCACCACATAAGCAAAAAGAAAAAAGCCGGAAGTGGCGCTGTGGCTCAAGTGGTAGAATGCTAGCCTTGAGCTGAGGGACAGCGCCCAGGCCCAGAGTTCAGGCCCCATGACTGGACCCAAAAAAAAAAAAAAAAAAAAAAGACTGGTCATTAGCAGGAATATATTAGCAATATTTAACAATGCTCTCTATTTTTAGCTCAGGCACCATTTAAGAGAGTTGGGTTATTTAATCTTTCTTACAGGTATTTCTATTTTGAGTCTTCTAAGGGAATACATAAAAGAGGGAGGAGAAAAGGATCTCTTTTCCTCTTGGCAACAAGCAATTTTTTTTTTTTTTTTTTTTTGGTCGTGGGGTTTGAACTCTGGGCCTGGGCGCTGTCCCTCAGCTCTTCAGCTCAAGGCTAGCACTCTACCACTTGAGCCACAGTGCCTCTTTCAGCTTTTTCTGCTTATGTGGTGCTGCGGAATCGAACCCAGGGCCTCATGCATGCAAGGCAAGTACTCTATCACTGAGCCGCCTTCCCAGCCC